AAGAATAAGAGCGTGATGTGTATTTAATGATCATAACTTAAATGCATGTGAATAACATTTTTTTCTCTAGTGCTTCCTATGGGGCCAGAAACTGTGCTTAGCATTTTCTGTGTAATAACATTTGATCCTCACAACAACTCTACTGAGGTAGTTGCTAATATAAACCTGTATCTTACAGGCAAGAAACTAAGGCATGAAGAGGTTAAGTAACTTGCCCAAGGTCACGGCTGGCCAAATAGAGCAACCAGGTTTAGATTCCAGGCACCCTGGCCCCAAAGCCTGTGGTTGTTCCCTCTGCCTCCTGACTGCCTCCTTTCTGTGGTGTCAACCTACTAACAGGAGACTGGCTAGCCATAGTCACAGAGGAAGGGAGCATCTGAGGGGCGGTTCATCTGACTCTGTCCCTAGAGAGGAAGCCATGGTCCAGAAACATGGCATCAGGTCTCAGGATGGGAGCAGCCTACAGTGGCGATAGGTCCTCAGCTGATGCTTCTCAGTGACACCAGGACTGTCCAAGATTGCCCTGGTCTCGAGACTGCCAGGCAACCTTCCAAGGAAGACTTGGCCTTGGGAAGCTTATGTGTGTCAGTGAACACTAGTGGCCTGGGATTTAGAGTCTCACCCAATTTTCTCCATCTATCTTCAGAGCCCAGTGAGTGTGACTATTGCCCTGGGAAACAGCCCCAACTCTTGCGGCTGACAAATCTGGGTTCTGAGCCCCAAAGCCCAGGGATGGAGGGCTGGGTCAAGCACACAAAGTAACACCTCTATGTGGGATCCCCATGAGATGCTCACTGTCAGATCAAAGCCACAACGGCAGCTTCCATTACTCACTAGGCACTGTGTTAGGCACTCTCCCGTAGGCCTCTCTGCAGGCTATCCATGAGCTCATCGCTCTTACCAGGGGCAATTCTATTTCAAGTGACCCAAATCCAGAGCCACAGGACAGGTCCACTTCTCCCAGGGACAATTCTGCCTCTGAACATGGATTTGAGGTCTAGGAAGGAGATGCTTTCTAGATCTAAGAGGCCTCCAAAGGCAAACAGGGATTTGGACCAACAGGGAGCCAGGGACTCAAAGGGGACTAGGTGCCTTCAGGGGGCAAGGAGAACCTGTATGTGTGTGGAAAATGAGACTATGTGGAAGCTTCCAGGGCCCAGGACCAGGATGACGAGAGGAACCGCAGTGACAGCCCACATAACTAGCAGAACGCCCCAAGATGTCAAGTCAGTTAAGGACTGAGATGCGGCTCCGGGCTCTGGGAAAGCATCTGCGACTGATCAGTGATGTCAGCCCAAGGGCTGAGGACAATGGGAGCCTCATGTCTGACTCTGTGACCTCAGCTGAGGGACTGTGTCTCATTCCCTCTCAGTTCTAAAGCAGAGTGTGAGAGAAAGCTAGCAGCCGAGCAGTCAGGAGCCCCTTACTCATGAGGCCAAAATCCCCATTTATCAGGAGGCGTTCTTAGCAAGTGCTTTTTCTGGCTCTCCACATAAAAGCCTTTGAGCAGCTCAGCTGGGAAGCCTCTTGTCTGACCCCTTAGCTGGACCCAGTGAGCTCAGAGGGGTCCTTTTTAGGGTCCTTTTTTAGGGGCTGCTCCAAAGCTCAGCGCTTCCTGGGCTCTTCTGCCCCCTTCAACCATGACCTGCACCCCTCGCGGGACAGGAAGGCTCCCCACCCCCCACTTGCGCCCTGGTTCCCGCCTCATCTGCATTTGACATCCCTTGTTGGGCTGCGGCAGAGAATACTCAACAGACTCATATTAAAAATGCCCTTTAAAATTCAAAAGCTTTGAACTCAAAAAATATCTCGAGAAGTTTTCATGGAAAGTTCAGCTGCACGGGTTCAATTCACTACACTTAGATGCACCTTTTCAAATAATAGGGAAAAGATGTAACAGGGTCAGACCCAATCAATATGCTTGTTCAAACAGAATTGCAGGGACTGTGATGTGCACACATTTTGTACTCTGCCTTTGTACCCTGCCACTCGCTCTGAAGAAAGGTTTCTTTGCTCGGAGAGCAATGAAAGTGATAGCCTTTGGAGTGGAGGCGGCAAAGCGATGGCGTGTTTACCGGGCTGGGAGGGCCTGCCATTTTTTCAAAGCCCCCCAGCCTTGTCTCTTTGTTCTTTTCATAACGGCATGAAACCCACACGGGCAAAGCCCCTTGTGCACCCTGGCGTCTGATGCTGAATCAGAAGCAAGGGGCTCCCAGAATTTGCCTACCATGTCTCAGAAATGTGATTTGTGGATTAGACAAATAATTTGCTGCTTCTTTCCCACCTTTGGTGCGAACACAAAAGGACTTGCCATGGAGGACTATAACCACGGGCAGAAGAAAATTCCAAAGCCCAAAATGGGCTCTTGCTGGGCTGAGCCAGGGTCCACACCCACACCCACCCCTGCCATTCTCAGATTGACTTTGGGTAGACAGAGGCTTCCCTGGGCTTGGGCTGCAATCTATAATAGCCTGGAAAATTCTAGAGAATCCAGTATAACTGAAACCACAGCCAAGGGGTTAGAGGGAAGCAAACAGACTCAGGGAAGTTTCTACTCTCACAACCCACCATGAAGGCAGGCAGAAAAGTGGATGATGGGGAGCAAACAAAAGGTTTTCAGCATCTCCACCAGTCTGGGGACCTCTACTTCACATGCACTCAGAAATGCAGGTGCATCTCAGCTTGTATCACTGAAACAATGCCCTGGACATGTTGAAGACCTGGGCAGTTCAAGAAGCTGAAGTGGCAATTATCCCTACCCCCACTGCAGACTAGATCCTAAAGTGTTCCCATCTCTTCTTGCTAAAATTAGACAGAAATCCTGGGCTCAACCCAGCCCAGGTTAAAAGTTACAGCTTGGGAGGGGAATGTTGCAAATGGATGCAGGAGCAGCGAGCTCACATTTGTCAACCACGATCCCATTGTTCACAACTCTGCTCAGAAAAAGATAAATAAAAACCAATCAATCAAACCCTGCTTGGGCCCTGTGCCCCTGTTAAGGAGCAAAGCTGGAATCGCTAGGCCACGCGGGGTTTTCCAGGTCCCCACCTGGAAGGTCCCCAGTTGGCGCGTACTTTCACAGATGGCCCCATCTTACCTCAAGTAAGGAATCCTCTTGATTGGGTTGAGAAGGGGGCCGGGCCCTGCTGCCCACTTACATGTCGTGGCTGCAGCAGGCCTCTTCCAAAACACACGCGCTCTTCCTGGAGTCTGAGTTGAGAGCCTGTCATGCTCTCTGCAGACTGAAGTTTGGGTCACAGTTCTTACAGAAGAGGCTACTCCTTCTCCTGGCTGGAGGTGGAGAGAACAGAGAGCCGCCACCTTCTCTCCTACATGGGATTGTATGTGCGAAACAGAAACTGAGACCAACAGTAAGAAGAAAACCGCAGACACGTTTTTGCTGAAAAAGGTCTATGTCTACTGATGGCCACACTGTGTGTAGGGGGGTATTGGTTCCTGTATCTTCTTTTTCTTTATTTTTTAACTTTTGTACTGAGTTATTGAGGAATATCTGCTCTTCCATGTCACCCCCCGCCCAAATCCCTTTCATCTGTTATGGAGAGATCTTCAAGTAACGCTTAAAACCAGGGAGTTTTTTTTATTTTAAAATTCAAAAAGAGATCGGTAGCTAAAAAAGCAGCAGTGTTCCCTGCTCAGAATGCCCTGGAACCTATTCTCCCCAGTATTAATAGTCGGAAAGTCACTCTAAACCTTGGGTACTCTTCTTGGCAATAAAGAAAAACTGCCATAACAACAAACTTGGAAATACACACATACCCAAGCTGAACTGGCCTTTTGGCTTCTGTTTTAAGCCTACATAACAAGTCAAAATGAATTAAATACAAATCAAGTTTGCAATGGTCCGTCACTAACCCGCCTCCCTGGAACGAGCTGGCAGCATGTGGGTTGGAAAGGGTCCCTGGGCGTCCCTCCTGCTATCTTGGATTGCAGTCTGCCTGCCAAACCAACCCCACACGGCAGTCCATAGCCCAGAGGCCCCTCAACTGGGGTGTTGGGGGGAACCACTGTGAGCAGCAGCTGAAGCCCCACTAAGGACCCAAAAGCACAGGCCTTCTTCCCCCAGGCCTCCAAAGTCAATCAAGTGTCAAGGAACTGTCAGCAGGAGAAACTTTTCATAAGTGAACACAAGCAAGATCGAGAGCTGACACTGGGGATTTTCCAAAGAAATGGAAAAAAACTAAGGCCACTCATGAGGATAGAGCCAGCAAGAAGCAGAAAGCATATCAGGTTAATATTTTAATCTGTACATCACATTTTTTTTTGCAAACCATTACACTTTTATTTAAATTAACTTTTTCTTGCAAAATATTCATTTCATTTTTCCAACAAAATCTTATAAAGGCAAAAATAAAATCTTATTTTGGCAAATGTCATGAAGTTGATACTGGCAGCATATGGAGTTAGTTAAAAATAGACAGCAATTTCTAAATATAGTTAAGATTTTTTTTTTTTTCCGACCATAGTCAAAGACAAATTTTCATTTAAAGTGTGGCCCCACCCAATGGAGGTTTTGTTTTTTGTTTTTTTTCCTTAAAACATAATTTTCTGTATGCAAAATATCATGAGCTCATGACTTAAATAAAGAGCCACAAACACTGCTCCTGGCTTGGCAGCCCTCTCCTCACTTGAGACTGGAAGTCAAGTCTAAATCCTGCCGCCATCCATCAGGGATGCTGGGGGCACACAGCCTGACCTCTGGCCACCAGGCCCATATCATGGGGAAACTGACCTAGGTTCTCCGGGGCAGGCAGCAAAGTCCTGTCACAGCCTAGTGTGGAGTCAGGGAGTTTTAGGGAGACACCACCCAGTGTGAAGTTTATTGCTTATGATAAAATAAAAGGTGCTTCCTCTCACCTTTTCTGTATTTCAAAGGGTATATATATATATATATATATACACACACACACATATATATACATATATATGTATATATATATGTATATATATATATATTTATTTTTTTTTTTTTTTAGTTAAAGCAAACTGTTCCGTTTTTCATAAGAGAGCCCTTTGCTGAGAGAGTCTCATGAACAGGTTGGGAGCCAAACCTCTTGAATATACCACTGCCCCTAAACCAAACCCAAGGGCCAAGGCACAGACTTGGGCTCCACATGGCAGCCTGCTGGAGTTTCCCCTCCAGAGCCAGTCATCTGGCCAGGTCAAGGACAGCTAACCTCTGCAGCTAAGGAGCCCTCTTCCCCCAGATAGTATACCAACGAGCCCAACGCCGGGCCCCCCTGGAAGCACATGTCAAATCCAACCTTCACCTGAGTTCATGGATGTTGGACTGGCCCCTGCTTGCCCTGCCCTTCTCCCCAGCCCACACCTAGCATGCACACGGTACCTGAATCTGTAGGTGCAGCTCCAAAATCCTGCATCCTCCCCTTTCCAGCCACTCAGCCCTTGAGGTGAACATTATAAAATATATTTTGAGTCTAAAATACAGCATCAGTATTTTACAGTGTGTATCAAAAGTGCCTTTGTCATATGTAAAAAGGAGTCTGAACTAAAACAAGTTGAGGGGAGGGTTGTTAGGACCTAGCCCTATGCTGAACTCCCCACAGTTGGTGGACCACTCCTTCTTCCAGCCGGAACCCCTGCTGAGCTGGAAGGGGGTTTCCTTGGGGGAAGAAGATCAATCTTCTTGGATGAAACTGGTTCCACGGGGTCCCCAGGTCCAGACTTCTCCTTTGCACGTTGGGTCATGGGTCAGTCACTGCCTGGGCTGGCAAAAAGCACAGGACACAATAAGAGGCTGGCAGGACCCCAGCCCACATCTGGGGAGCAGACAGTGGGCATGTCTGTATACGCACACAACAGGGAATAGAAGGCTGACAAGACAGAGAGCAGCTGAGCAGGGGACTGGGGTGATGCGGCCGCTGCTGGGGGACCCTCAGCTTCTAGGACTCATGGGCATTCGGCTCCACCCTTTCTTCACCCCTTCCACGTCTAGAAAGTTTTGCCAGACATATGTTGGTCCCTAGATTGGGTCTCTGTTCTGATAAGGCAAAAGTCCTGAGCAAAGAGGACTCCGGGGTCTAGTTCTGGCCCTGCTCTTCATTCACTGAGTGACTCTGAGTAACGCTTGCTCTTAGTCTCCATGAGTCTCATTTTATTAACCTAAAAGCAGAATGGTCATACCCACCTCCTAATGAGGATCTACCCTAACAGGAGGGCAAACAGGAATGTGGATGCACTCTGAAGCAAGGCATTAAAGGCCTATCTCACAACTACAGGGGTGTCAAAAGCCAGGAGGAACAGGGCCTCACACCTGCCTCTTCGTGGCCTGGCATGGGCCACATGTGGCATGTAGCATGGTATCACCACACTCAGATCTCCAAGAGAAATCTACACACCCTACTGTGGCCCCAACAGGTCCCTGTGACCTTGACAAAGGATGTGGCTGGAGCATTTCTCTGTGGTTCTTCGCTCACTTTCTCTAACGCACACTTTCCAAGGGCCTGGCCCAAGCCGGACAACCTCTTCCTTCTACCCTCAGGCTGGAAGGGCACCAGGTTGGGGGACACCTGCTGAAAATCACGAACCCCACCCCCAATGCACACACTCTCTGTCCCTCCCTTCTCCAGACACCTAGAGCTCCTGGGGGTGCCCAGATGAGTCCACAGTAGTGATAGGGAACAAAGGCTCTGAACTCGCACCATAGGGGTTCAAACCCTGGCTCTGACACTTAGAGCTTCAACTCCTTGGGCAAGTCCCTCAAGGTCTCTGAGCTCCATTTCCTCCCCTGTACAATGGGGGCGAATGTCTTCATAAGGTGGTTGTGTGGATCAAAGGAGATGCTTAGCACAATGCCTGGCACATAGCAAGTATGCAACCACGCTACCCGGAAGTAAACACAAAGGAAAGAGAGGGAAACCCTATAAAATGATGGCAAGATGAAATGTCAGGGAGAGGACCACTGAGACTTCTGGTATGACCGTCCCTTGTCCAGGTGAGGCAACTGGGCTCAGGCCACGAACTCACCCCAAGACTGGTCCAGACGCTGGGCCTCCTGGCTCCTGCTCCAGTGCTCCTTGCCTAATCCCTCCCTGCCTCTCATCACTAAATGCTCTCATGGGGAGGACCCACAAGGGGTGGTACCAGAACATTCTGAATGCCAAGGTGCCCTGGTGGTCTCCCCCCAAAGCTTCCCTTCTTCTCCCCCTCCTAAGGTGCTCAAGTGCTGAAAAGGGCAGTCCTAGTCCTTGCTCTGACACCAATTCCATTTGGCCTGGAGTGAGCCTCTATCTCCTCACGGCCCCAGTATCCTGGATTTTTCTAGTCTTCCAGCTTTTCACATTCTCTGGCCAGAGCCCTGAGAGCCTGAGACTAACTTCCACCCCCAAGCTGGCAGCCTGGCCTGCACTGGTTCCTCGAGGCACTGGACTCCCTGCAGGAAACAGAGCTGGGGAGAAGGGGTACAGCTCCTGCTTCTATTTCAGGGAAGCAGGGGGCCTGGATCACCCAGTCCCTACTGTAGCAAAGCCACTGAGAGTTGAGGTCCTAAAAACCCACCATCCCCCACCCGCCCACCAGTCCAGGGCAGTCTCCCCAGCGGCGGCTTTGCCAGGGTAAGGAAGGAAGCAGGTGGCACTGCAATCATCTCGGCGGCGGGGCGGGGGGCATGCTCGGCGCTAGGGGAGAGGCAGGCCAGGCAGGGCTCTTACTTGGAAGGTGTTAGACAAAGGTGTAGTGGAGTCCGTTGCTTAAGGGGGGATAGGGTGGCACCGTCCTGGAGGACAGGGGGGCGTTAGGCGGGAGGAGGGCCAGCTGCTGCGCTAGACGGGCACACAGGAATTAAGCGGGGCGTTAGGCTCCTCATCTGCTCCTGCAGCACCAGATGCCCCAGGCTCGGCAGGGCTGGAGGGGCGTGGGCCACACTGCCTGTCACTAACGGCCTGGGCAGCATACCCATGGGGCCTGGGCGGGCCTGGTTGGGACAGGCTTGCAGGTCCCAGATACTGCCTCTGAGCTAGACAGAGGGAGCAAGAGCAAGGAAAGGCTGTGGCAAAGGTGGCCACTTGTGGAGAGGGGCGGGAGGCCCTGCTAACTGCCCTCAGGGTGCATGAGCCCTGGCAGGCTTGCCTGCCAGCCATAGGAAGCTGAGCTCCATGTAGGCAGGGCAAGCACAGGCCAGACAAGAGGACACCTATGGTGGGGGTGGGGCAGTATCCCTGTTCAACATAGAAAGGAGTCAAAATGACCCACAGGGAGCCCCCAGGATCACTGGGAGGAGGGGTCTGGGTGAGTCTTCAACTGTCTCCCCAGCCACACCAACTACCTCTCAGTCCACTTAGCAGTCTCCAAGGGAGTGAGGACAGCAGGGGCTACAGGGACTCTGTGCAGGATCACAACATGGGGGTGGTGGTGCAGAAAACAGCCTTCCTCTTGTCCAAGGTCACTCCCCTGGCTTCTTGAAGCGATGTTCAAGCTCTCCTCCCCAGACCAGACTTCCAGGGCCAGTCCCCTCTGGGTCCAGCAGGCCCCACCCTTCATCACTTCCAGACCTTTGGCCAGGGTTGGGGGCCTGGGGGACTATGACAGCACTTCAGGCTCTACGGTCACGCCCTCTCCGGAAGGCCTAGAGCACACCTGGCCACGGACGCTACCCAGACACACAGTGGCCCCTACATCAGGGGGACAAATAGCACTGGGTCAACTCGGAGGGCACACACAGGGAGCGGAGATATGGGTGGAGGGAGGAGCCACAGGTCTGTTTCCTGTCTGAGAAAGAAAGCCTTGTACACACACACACATACATACACGTGTGCACATGCACACAGACCCCCTTCCCATCCCATGGTGTTTTTTCCCCACTGGCCAGCAAAGAATCCCACTTCCCAAGTCCTGGTTACTAGCAGAGGCCATTCTGACAAAGCAAACAGTGGCTTTGATTTGGGGGCCAAAGCAGGGGTCCCAGGGAGGGCTCAAGGGTTCCCCGTTGCCTTGCCCCAGCAAGAAATCCAAACACCAATGCTTTCCTGTCCCCCTTCTTGTGAAGCCAGAAACCTTAGCCTTGGCCCTATCTCAGGGGCCTGAAAAACATATTCTTAACCCACATTCTCAGAGAAAGCTGAAAAGCAGCACCACCCAGATTTAAGGAGGAGCTCGAGACACCCTCTCCTGGACCTCTAGCCTCTGACACTCCTGAACCTCAGTTCTCCCACCACCCGCCCCGCCGCGGCTCACCTCCCAAACCCTGGAGTGCTGATGGGACTGGAGGACACGCCGCTCGCCCGCAACTACCACGCCTGACAGCTGGCTTTCCGCACACTCCCTGACAAGCCATGCTGGGCTCTGAGCCCAAGCAGGGCTGGAGGCTGGCACCCTCGGCCTCACCTGCCACCTGCTTGCTGCGCTGGGAGGCCTCGGAGGCCAGCGCGTAGGAGATGTTGATGAGGCGTTCCTGCTCCTGCAGCTGCAAGTCCAGGTCAGCCACGCTGTTCCGATCCTGGCCCGATGGCGGCTGCAGGTTACACATGCTGCAGGAGGGCCAGAAAGCAGGCTATGGGCCCTCCCCACCCCGCCATCTGCCCCAGGACAGGAGGGTCTCCGTGGCCTAGAGGCTCTCGGCCTTTTAGGGGGCATCGGATAAACACAGAGTGCGCTCTCCCTAGACAAAGGCGTATGTGCTTCTCCCAAACACCCAGCCACAGCTTTGTTCCTCCTCTGGGGGATCACGGCCTTAAGAAGAGAGTTCCAGCTCTGCATTCCTATTAAATCCTAACATGAAAAGGCTAACCCAACTGTGAAAGAGAGGCCCTCCAATACCACGTTTAGGTTTCTGAAGCTCAGGGGCTGAGGAGATAGGAAAGCCTCCCGTCCTGGCCTCCCGGGAAGTGGGAAAGGCCTCCGGCTGAGCCCCTGGCTCTGGTCTAGGGATCTGTGTGAGGAAACATAGGCCCCAACACCGGACCACCCGCCTTGGGGTTGATCTCCAGCTGCGTCCACCTCACTGTCACACTTGGCTCCACTCCCTATATTGGCCAGCATCATAAGACACAGATCTGGGGGCAAAGGACCAGGGCGGCCCTCTATTGCGTATTTCAGGATTGCAGATGACCTGGCAAGCCTCCTCATGGACCCGCTGGTGCCATTCTGAGAGCCAGCCTGCCCTTTGCAATAACTAGGGCTTACGTGAGTCAGACACCTGGCAAAACACACACCCTAGTCAGCCCGGCCCAGGTCCCAGGTAGTAGAGACACCCCTGGGGTCGGCCTAGCAGGCTGTCAAGACTCGAGCATCGTAAGCGCTGACCTGGAACGAGCAAGGATGTTGCGGATCTTCTCAGCTTTGCGATACCGCGCCTGCAGCTCCTCAAGGCTGGGCGGCTCCTCAGGGTCCAGCTCCACGTAACGCTCAGGGATGGAGACCTTCTCTGGTTTGGCCAGCTGAGGAAAGGACCAGGCGGCGGCGGCAGGGGGGCTCAGATACTGGGCTTAGAACTTGCTCCTCGCCCTGTCCCCCAGCACAAGGCAGCACATGGAGCCCACAGAGCTACGTAATGTGCCAAGATCAAGGGCAGTCCACTGTGGAGTCGGGATCAGAACTGTGTTCTTTCCACCACACCAGACAATCTCCTTCGGGCCAAGGGACGGTGGGGAAAGGAAGACGGCGAGACCGGAAGCCCTCAGGATAAAATGATCATCCTTAATGCCGCCTTCGACAGGAGCTGAGCCCTGCCAGCCTCCACAACCACACTGATCCACTCCGTGGCCTCTGCCCCCGCACTCTCCTCCACATGGGATGCTCTTCCGTTCGCTCCCCTCCTTCTGACCCTTCGGACCTCACTTCCAGAAGTCTTCCCTGCCCCTCCCCACCCCACCCCTGGTATCCTGTCCTGTTTTCTGTTTGTCTCTCTGCTGTCAAGTGCAGGGACCTGACAGCCAATAGCCCTTCAGCAAACACTCCTCGGATGGGTAGATGGTTGTGTAGAGGGATGCGTGGTTGGGTGGGTGGACGAAAGGAAGCGATAATGCTTTCTGTCCCTCAGAAGCTCCTCTGCTCTAGACAGTAAGCAGCCATACAGTATCCACTGGTCACAAGAGGACAATGTCCCCAGCTCCCCCCACCAGTCTCTGACGTGAGCCCAGCAGCAACCTCAGCCTGGTGACACCCTACTTAGACTCAGAATGATAAAGGCAACTTTTGCATGCCCTAGGGAATTTCTTCCTCCTTGAACTACAAAAGCACATTAAAATGAGGTTGGTTGAAGTTTCTAAAAACAAGCTAAATCCAATCCCAGGACAGATCTGGACTTGAATTTAAACCCATGCAGACCTTTCATTCTGGTGAAAGATGGCAAGAAATAAGCTCTTCTCTGTTATTTCCAATGAGGGCAGATCCAGAGGAAGGAAGTAGATTACATTGTAGCAGGAGGGATTTAGGTTATAGATAAGAAAGGACTTTTTTTCCCTGGCTGGCAGGCCAATCAGAACACCACGAAGCATACTTGCATGGCCAAGACAGCAGGGAGAAGCTTCTTGGGAGGATCTGAGAAAGCACAGACCTTTGGTTGTTGCAGAGGTGCCAAAGGGAGAAAGTCTGAGGGCGGGGGACCGGCTTCTTTAACCTCTGGAGCCCCAGCTGGCCCCAGAACTCGGCAACTCCATAGATGTCAATTTGCTAAATCTAGCCTTCAAGTGGTGAGAACATTTCCTCTCATGCAGTTTCAGGGCACGCCAAGTCCTCTTATAAATATTTGTGGGGTATCTGTGGGCTCCTGTGTACTTCATTCAACAGAACTGTCACCCAGAAAATATTGATAGAGCACCTACTATGCGCCAGGCTCTATGTTGGGCACTAAGAGCACAGAAGTGAACCAAACAGTCATAGGCACTGTTCTACAGAGCTTCAAACAGCACAGTATGCCACAGGAGACCTCCCCATGTCATGAAGACCCTGAATCTGTCCCATTTTAATTCCTTGCTCTTCCCTTGGGTAAGACACATTCCTCAATGACAGAAGACCCAGGGGTTACTTGCTTTTCCAGGCCTGGCCAGTCATGATGCATTTGTGCCACCAGAGGGCACTAGAGGAACTCAGACTAGAACTACGACGCAAGTCTAGGCTCTGCCAGGGCTGGAATTTCACCTGTGATTTTTCAAACCTGCTCCCCTGAACACCCCCCCCACCCTCCCCACCAAGTCTAATTGCCCAAGTTGGCCTGACTGGCCAACTCCTAGTTTTCCAGGGAGCATTTCCCAATAACCACAGCTACCTCATCACACACCTACTATGTGCCAGGCCCCGTGCTCATGGTTTTCTGACCACTGCTAATCCAGGCAATGTGTTGAGTCAGCTCACCCCTACCACAACCCACTTTACTGTCGAGGGAAACCAAGGCTCAGAGAACTTAAGTGACTTGCCCTCAACTGTGGAAAGAGAGAGATGGATGGGTCTGAATCTGCGTCAAAAGGCCTTAGCTCAGGGCGCCTGTGTGGCTCAGCGGGTTAAAGCCTCTGCCTTCGGCTCAGGTCATGATCCCAGGGTCCTGGGATCGAGCCCCGCATCGGGCTCTCTGCTCAGCAGGAAGCCTGCTTCCCCCTCTCTCTCTGCCTCTCTGCCTACTTGTGATCTCTCTCTGTCAAATAAATAAATAAAATCTTTAAAAAAAAAAAAAAAGGCCTTAGCTCTGGGGCATCTGGGTGGCTCAGTCAGTTAAGCATCTGCCTTCGGCTCAGGTCATGACCCCAGGGTGCTGGGATCAAGTCTCACATCTAGTTCCCTGTTCAGCAGGGAGTGTACTTTGCCCTCTGCTTGTCCTTCCTCTCTCTCTCTCCCTTCTTCTCTCTCTCACTCTGTCACAAAAATAAATAAAATATCTTTTTTTAAAAAAATGCCTTGGGTCCTTTTATTGCCTCGAGCTGATATTCATCCATTCTCCTGGCCACACTGACACTGAGCCTTGTCCCCGTTCAGGACAACACCTCCCCCCAGTGCCACTGGGTGGGGTGATCAGGCCACAAGCCAAAGGCTGTTTCTCCTGGGGGGGAGGGACACGAAGGAAGCCCCTGCCCTCACCTCTCTGCTGATGTCCAAGTCATAGTCTTGAGGTTCCAGGTCCAACTCAGTGACAGGCATGGCCTGCACTTTCAACCAGCCATTTTCCTCCTTGTCCTTTCTCTCCCCTTGCATGGCCCGTTCCAGCAACTGCAGGTCAAAGTCCTGCTCGCGCTTCCACTGGCAACAGAACAAGAAGGTTAAATGTAGTCACTTCATGACTGCTACAAGAGGCAGGTTTGTCCCCTTTTGGATGGGGCTTGCAGGTACTGGGGTCCTTGGGAAGGGGGCCTGTGACCCACTGGGGAAAAGCTGTGTGATCATGAGCCCCTCAACCTCACCTCCAAGTCAAGGCAGTGGTTGTAGGGCATGGGTGGTCCCTGTGGGTTGCTGTAACCCCATGTAATGGAGAATGAGGCCTGTGCCTCATTTATAAGGCCTGATGCCAGGCTGCTGATTTCTCTCCCATCTGGGACCCCAAAGGATTCACCCACGTACCTCTAGAGCCCACTTCTAAGACCCATGAACTTCAGACTCACAGTGGTCTCTAGATACAGGAAGCTTCTCAGCCTAAGAGGGTGACCCCAAAACAGACCCTTGGACAGAGCTCCAGAGAAGCTGCCCTATAGCTTGTGGAAGCCTTTCTAGTTCAGGAATCCATACAACTCAGCTCAGAAGTGATGAAAAAAACAAGCCCTTTGAGGCCCTGGTAAGCACATACCAATAGCCAAGACCTTCTCTAATGGATAGTCCCAAGAGTGGGGGGTACTGCACCCACAGTAGGGTAGGGAAGGTCCAAGCAGGAATGGCTTGGGCCTAGGGAGGCAGCTAAACTACTGCTTACCCGGGCATCTATTTGCGGGCAGACACTTTAAGATAGAAAAACAATGAAACTACATACAATTGAAATGCTAAATCAAACACAACATTTCCCAGGTTCTTCATTAGTGCCAGCTAGGTACTAAGTAACTTAGTTAGGTGCTAAGTTAGGTACTAAGTAGGTACTAAGTTAAGTACTTAGGTACTAAGTAACTTCACAGAGGGAAAAACTAAACTGGCCATTTTAAGATCCAAACGCAACTCTGCAATTCTGCGGGGGCCTTTCAAATCATCTATGGTCATGATTGTTGTTGAGAGGAGGTTGTTGAGAGGAGGGAACAGCCTCAAAGCCTCTCTTTTCTCGAGCAGAAACCAAGCAGATGCTTCTCCATCCCAGCAGACCTCCTCCGTCCCACCCCATATATCTCACAGAGCCCCAAGTGATGATTGTCTTTTGTGCCCCTCATGTACCCCCCAAAGCCCCAAACCCATGGCCATATTGGCATATTTCACCCATTCATGCACAAGCTCTCAATACTGACTCCAAGCCAGTGGGATTGCTCTTAGGTGATGATTTCCAATTACAGCATGAAAGGATTAGGCATTTGAAGTTTTAAGGATGAAAAATTAATTTAATGATTCACAAAGAAAATGCACATTTTCTTACACGCTCACAAGTGCCCCAAATAGACAAGTCCTCACTGAAACCCAGCCTGATTGTTTCCACAAACAGGAAAAGTTCACTAGACTCTGTGATGTATCCTGGGGAAGAACCACGCCAATCCATTGTCATTAAGCAACACGTTTATTGGCGTTGATGCAGAGACTTACACAAGTCTTTTTTAAAAGAAAAATTACAAGATACTCAAGTTACGATTTTTAGATAATCTTTCTACATTTTTGAGACATCAGGTTGTAAAAGGTCAGTGTTACCCCAAATGACATTTGCTTATAAAGTTTAAAAGTTACCGGCTTTGCAGCTTTTCAGGATACAAGTGTGCTGGGTCTTACCCCTTTGGTGTCTGTGCTAGCAGCTGCAGAGAGCCCCTCTGAATACAGAACATAATATATCTTGGCATCCATTCAAATTACTAAATACAAGAAACACAAAAGGTTTTCCGTAAGAAACTGTGAGATAGAACTGGAGGAATTAAAATTGAACCACTTTAGATTAGTAGTATTTATTTAAACGTGCAGTCTCTGAAGCCTGTGTCTGCCGTCCGGGTGTAAGGCATGGACTTTGATGGACTCATAATACCCAGACCTCTGCCCGTGGTCACGGCCCTCAGGCAGCAGGTTGGCTCAGCCCTGTGGGGCGGCTTCTGGGTTAAGTGAATTTCAAGTCAGTAGGCCTGCATCAAGGGCACAGCAGAAAGGTGAGTCACACATGGGAGTGCTAGCCAGGCTATGGAGATGAGAGCTTCTATTACAAGCCTGGTAACAAAGAGCACAGGCCAGTTAGAGAATGTTTAATGCAAATTAGAAGCTTCTGTAAACACAATCAGGCAGGATTAGAGAGGCAATGAGCGGTAACACTAAAAGCAAAAGAGCTTGTGCGATGAATTAGGGAAACAGCAGTATGGGTAGAGGGCTAGGAAAACAGAATAGTCTGATGGAATGTTTCCCAAAGGGAAGGGGCAGGGTGCAGCGCCAGGAAGCACACCAGGGAGCAGCACAGGTACCCCCCCCCCGCCTGCTCTCCGGGGGGGGGGGTACCATGAGGCCTTCCAGCACCAGAAGCTGGGGGAGACCGCCAGCCATCAGGGCTGTGGAGCCCAACCCTGTGCTCAGCTCCTTCGCAGGGCATCACTGAGGGGTCTGGGAGGCTAGCTGGCTTGCATTCCTCCTCACCAATCATATCACCATCTTCCTCCTCCATTCCTGAACTCTCTATCCCCAAGTCCTTGATCCAGCTGAGACTCCAAGGGTTACAAAGTCCTCTCTCAAGTTCAGCTTGGAGAACAAACTTGGGACACTTGCTCTGGCAACTAGGCTCCTGCTGTGACATCCTCACTCCTTCTCTGAGTCTGGATCACCCTCTGACCAGGTCATAGCTGCGGCCCAGGTTGTGGACACACAGCCTATGGGGTGTTCTCTGAACCATCTCGGTCGAAGGCCTGCTCTCTCCAGGGTGTGATATTCGTTGCGTTTGGGGAACTCAGGGAAGCTCTGCTCCCCGTCCCAGCCCCACCTGCCTGGACCCTCCTAACATACTGAGCCGTGGTCTCCAGGCAGAGGCTGGCTGATGTAGCGGGACGAGGGCAGACCCGTCCTCTCTCCTTGGCTCAGCGTCCTCTTGCGCTCCCGGACCAGGGCCTTCTGGTGCCGCTTCATGCGCTCCAGCTGCTCCTCTGCGCTCATCTGGCCCCGCTGGTGATCCCCTGAGTACAGGCGCTCCAAGGCACTCTTGGGTCTCTGAGGAGCAGGAGGGTGAGAGACAGGGCAGCTGGGCTGGGCCTCAGAGGGCAGCCATCATTCCTGTCCTTTCTTTCTCTCTCTGTCACACGCTATCTCACACACACACACACACACACACACACACACACACACACACCTCTAAGCATACTCCGGCTCTCTGAAGAGGACCCCATTCTGCAGATGCAGACACTGAGGCCCAGGCCTGTCCAGCTGGACACACATGTAGCATGTGATGGGGCCAGAACTCAGGGTACAGACATTCTAGGTACCCTCCTGTGAGCCTAAAAGGCTGGAGAGAAAGGTAAGGGGTGGTCCTCAAGAAACAAAGAGAGCCAGATGATGCCCTTCTAGGTGGGCAGTGGGAAAGATATCACTGAGCACATGGTGACAGGGACCCTGAGCTCAGGAGGGGCTGAGGTCACCTCAAAGGCCATCCCTGGGGCTCCCAGGATTGCCAGTCACCATCCACCTCATAGCCCTTGCCTCCCAAGGCCACTCACAGGGAAGGTCACCTTGCTGCTTTCGGCATTTAGACCCCTCCGGAGCGTGACGTAAGGAGCAATGGTGGATGACTGCTGGAGCCTTGACATGGACCCTGAGAGCCCTTAATGAGGAAAGAGAAGTGCAAGTGTATTTATGATGTATTTATCCACCAGCCCCTCCCAAATCACCTCCCACTCCTGAGAGGGGACCATGAGGACCTAGCCAACAACCCATTCCTCTTCTTCCCCAGGGCCTAGAAGAGCAAGGCCTAGTAGAGGAGGAGGGGCCAGCCCAGGGGTGCTCTTTGTCCCCAGTGGGGTACAGCATCCCTGGAGATCTACAGACCACCCTAGTCTTCCTTCACATGCAGAAGACCTGGGCTGCTTGGCAGGTAGAAAGGATGAAGAGGAAGGAATGCCCTTCCTCCTCCTTTCTTTCTGGTGCACTCCTGTGCATCCTGCATGACCCAACCTAGATGTCCTGCCTGTGTGAAGCCTTCTCAAATGCCCCAGGCAGAATTTACTGACCTCTATATTCTTCAGTACCTGCATTGGTTACTGCACTGACCACAGTGCCAACACACCTAACCAACTAGCCTGCAAATTTAACGATGCCTGCCTGACCGACGGACTGAATGACTGAAGGAATAAATGAATGAAGGGAAAGCAGCAGCACCAAGTATTTATTAAGCACTTAACTATGGAACAGGCAGACACTGTACTTGGTGTTTTATACAGATTTTATTCCACTGGTCTTACCATGTAAGCATTACCTGACCACTGCAGAGATGCATAGCCTAAGGCTCAGAGAGGTCAAGGAACTTGTCCAAAGTCACATCGTAGGAATATCATTGACTCTGTGCTTCCCACATCTGGGTCGGTCCTATGGCTTAGAGAAATCATCTCACCCTCGCTGGCTGATGCCACTGCCTGTGCTTTCTCTGGTAACACCAATTCTTATCAGGGGTGGTTTCTGACTGACATCTGGAAATGGGCATCACACCCACTGAGGACACCACTAGCAGTTGGCACATAGGGGAAAGAACAATAAATGCCCTGAAATGCAAAGAGAATCCTGAGCAACAAAGAACCGTCCTGCCCCAAATGCCACTAATACTGCCGTTGATATACACCTATGCCATAACGAATTAAGGGAAGTGTCCCTGGGCACAGTGCCAAGGGTTGCTGTGGCCCCTTCAGCAAAATCCAGAGCCTACACCCTCCAGGGACCAGCTCAGGCCATATCGTGCCTAGGCCTCTAACCCTGCAGGTGCCAGAACCACAGCTGTGGCTCCTTCTGCTTCTGCACCTGGCCAGTGGGGAAAGCACTGACCGCCCACCTTAGGGAGCAGACAGGAGGATCAGGGGAGGAACTGATGCAGGAGTGTGGTCAGCCTGCTCAGAGATTCCAGGAGCCCCAGGTGCAAAAAGGTCAGGAGACTTCCCTTTAAGAGGATTTCTGAGAAGAGGGTCTGGCTGTTGGGACTAAGAGGGTATGGGTAAGCCTAAGGACCTAAGTCTGCTCCCATCCCCATCTGGAAGGGATAGGGGAGGACAAGAAGAAGGAAAGTGTGTTTGTTTATAGAAGGGACTCATGGAGTCTTTGAGTGATACAGGACAGCCAAAACGCCCCCGGAAGGCCCGAGATGGCGAAACTGATGGCAGTCACCCAACTTCCCAGCCTGCAGGGCCAGAGGCTCCGGAGTCAGAACACTGGGACTGTATTCTCACTCCATCACCTGTTGGCCATTTGGCAAGTTAGTTAATTCCTCTGAGTCTTAGTTCTCTTATCTCTACAGTGGAAATGGTAATAATAGCACTCCCTTCCTAGGATTATTATAAATATTAACTAGGTGAATATAGAGAGCTTGAAACAGTGCTGGGCTTTAAAGTAACTGTAGTTATCATTATTTCCAGGGGCAGATGTGATAAAAGAGAAAGAGAATCAGGATGGAGGCCAGAGGAAGGAAGGACAGGCCCTCCCTGCAGCCCAGAGTCTCCGTGACAGCTGCTGAGGCCCCCAGCTGCAGGCAGAAGAGTGACTGGGGAGCAGCGGTATGGTCATAGCAGGGTTTCCCAGAAAGCCTCCACGGACAGGTTTGCCTTACCTCTGCCTGGCAGTGTCTGGTACCTGCTGTCAGGGCCCTCTAGTCCCAGGGAGGGCTGGGCCATGTCCCCACTGAAAGTCGCCAGCTCAGGCTCACTAACGTATGACCGGAGCTCCACCTGTGGGCAGAGTCTGAGGCTGTCGTACCTGCCCAGTATCATGCCACCTCCCCTCCCCTCACACACAGCGGGGCAGCCCCAGAGGTCCCCCCTGCTCACCCTTGAGTCCCCATTCACACACTGCCCCTGCTCCCGGTCTCGCTTTCTCTCATCCGACTGCCGTTTCAGACCCCGCACTGACGTGTGCCGGATGATAGTGGCCTCCTTTGGCAGAGGTGGCACTGCCGGGGGCTGGTCCTCTGGACTGTAGAGCTCAGGGAGTGGGGGCCTGGGAGGTGCCTCATCTTCCTGCTCAGAGAAAGAACCACAATGAGTGCCAGTGAGAGGGAGCTAGAGGGAAGATGTGGCGTCTCTGAGGCGGTGGCCCACCAGACTGGAGTGGGCCACCTCAGGCCTACAGAGTAGGACCACTACAACCCAGGGATGCCAACACTTCCCCCAGATGAGCTGCGGAGAAGGGGGGTGCCTCTGCTCAAATACTATTCTTCCCTTCAATTCACTTGTTTTCCATTTTTTCAAAGCGTTACCTATACAAAATCCAGTCTCCTGGGTCTGTGGTCTTACTCCACTTCCATGAAGCGTACCAAGGTGGGGAGGGGGCTCTAGGCTGGCAACTCTGTGCTTATCTGTATGTCGATGACAGCAACCCACCACCACCACCACCTGCAGAATAAACACCTAGTGCCCCCTCCAGAGTTCTCAGACTGAGCAGGCTCACTGTCCCTGCACGGTCTCTGGATCCTTCAACAGGTTGCTATCTGAGCAAGGACAGTCTACATCCCCTGTCCATGCCCTTTCTACCAGAAATGTGCGTGGTTACAAACTATTTCCTCCTTCCTGACTCGGGGACTGAACAAGCAGTCAGCAACGGGTGACTCACTGCCTTCCTGGCAGCCCACTTGCTGGGCGGTGATGAATATAACTATTTTCCTTGAAACTCACCCCCACCCCCTAATAAATGTTCTCTAAGGGCTGTGGCTTCTACACAGACCAACAGTCTGGCCCCTGACTGCCATGAACACCCACTCCTGGAATCAGGGACCATCCTTCCTAACCACCCCCCTTCCTTAGTTTAATTTTGCTTTGTTTTTCAGGATTCTGGAAAGGTCAGGAAAGGGTGCTGAAGCTTGCTCTAGGAAGGTTTATCAGCATTCTGGTAAAGTGACACAGTTCACTATTGTGTGAAAGTTAAGCCTCCCATCCCAGATACCCACACGCTCTCTGGGCATCAGTGGCTTCCAACCCTGACAATGTCTTGGAATCACCAATCTCTAAAAAGCTGCCCAGAAAGGTAAACACAAAACATGGACACAAACACAAAAACTGCTTTGATTGAAGGGAAAAGAATGTCTGGAGATGGAGAGTGGGAGGAGGCATTTTGTTATATACTTTTTTGTATCTTTTGATTTTGTGCCCTTGGAGAATATTATCTAATAGAAAAGTAAGTGACTTTAAATTCAAGAAAATAAGCCAAGCAAAAATAAAAGAACTATAGCTACATGTAACAATGTGGATAAGTCTCCCAAAAATAATGTTGCAGACAAGTGCAAGATACAGAAGAATATAGCACTGTATGTGGGCAAAACTCAAATTTAGACACAGGTAGCAAAACTAAAAAAAAAAAAAAAGGAAGGAAATTATCCAAAAAGTCAAAAAGTCAAGATAGTGATAATGGTTAACTTCTGGCAGAAAAGGACTGATGGGCCTGACGTCTCTAGTTCCTGACAAAGTTCTATTTTCTTGGTTTAGGTGTTGGTATAAACGGGTGGTCTCTTTATTATTTGTTAAATTATATATTCATGTTTTAGGTCAATCTCAGGATATTATTGTTTCACAAATAGAAACATGAAACAAACAGTAACAAACAGTAAACCTGGTGAACAAAGGGAAAGAAGACAAGCCAACTAGAAAAGTCCCTGCCCGTGGGCCACAGAGGACTCAGCTGTGAAGAGCCTCTGTGACCATCTATTCCAAGCTGCTTATGGTGCACAAGGGGAAACTGAGGAAGCCCTTGTCCAAGGACCCAGTGAGAGAACAAGAGCCGCAATCCAGGCAGTCCAGCTCCCAGGCTACCACCTTTTCCCTCTGCTCCTCATCCCGCTAGCAGGCATCTTGCCTTAAGTCAGGAGCTGTCTGCCCTAGCCATTCCTGCTGTGTTTTGCTATTCCCCACCTCCTGTTTTGTGGCTGGTACCCAACTGCCTCTTAGATATAAAATCGGGAAGGAGATATAAAATCTGAAGAAATTCACATTGACTCAGTTCAGCACGTGTCTTCCAGCTCTGGGCCCTGGATGATGGCTGGAAGCAGATGGACAGTGAGGGCCAAGAGATGGGAACTTGTGTGTTTTAGCCAGCACTGCACACCAACCTTCTCAGAGGTCTTAGGCATACCCCATACCCAGGCAAAGCTCCTCTAAGCCTTTGTTAGCAAAACCTGGAGGTCCCCATCCCAAGGTCCCCCTTACTATGGCTTCCCTGTCACTTGGACCAGATCCCTTGTATTCTCCAGCCAAGCCCAGCCTGGCACTGGAGACATGAGCCATCATAGTTCCTGACCATATCTTCTGTTTTCTTAAAGTTTCCTGTGCTCCCAGACTCTGTCAAAAGCCTGGCCCTTCTCTCTGCCAGGCAAGCCAAGATGCTGGCTTGGGCAACCACATGGGCCACAAACCTGATCTGGGGAGTTGGGCTGAATGTCCACTTAGATGGCAGATGGCAAAAAATAGGAGATGTGGAGACTCTCAGCAAATGCTAACACCTTTGGGCCTCAGTTCTCTCGTATGTGGGATGGGACAGAGACCTTCCTATCTGCATACTGTGAAGATCAACTGTATCCTACAACTCAGCAGAGTGCTCAGCTGCCAGGGAAGACAAAGATGCTCTTTTGCTGAGAGGAGTCCCTCACCCATGAGCTTGTGTAACCACAGGTTTGCATGGAGTCCGCGTGGGGCAGCCACCTGCCTCTGTGTGGTCTATATCACAATCCCATCCTACTTAGCACAGTCATTTCCTCTTGCTGGGTCTCAGTTTTCCCAAATGTAAAATGGGAAGACTGGGCTAGATTCTCAGGGCCCTTCCAGTTCTGGGAGCACGATGGTCGGCTCTACCACTCTTTAACTGTTCGTAGTTCGGGACTCTGGCTAATTCCATCTCCCCGGGTTTCCCCAAAAGCTTCTCTTCCAACAGAAGCTGACCTAAGGACAGAGAGAGACAATCATCTCCCAGAGAGAAAACAATGGCACTCAGCTCCTGGTCATCGATACTTACAACTTTGGGCTTCGCCTTGGTTGGTGACTGAAGAGGGGACATCACTTTCCTCAGCTGGGGTGGATGAGGTCGGTACGGCACATAGGTTTGCAGCTGGGGGAAGAGTCGGACCTCCAGAGGGGTCCGCACGGGGCTGGTAGGAGGGCTGAGCTGTGGGGGCGGCTTGCTCTCAGAAGTCGAGAGTGAAGGCACAGGCGGGTGAGGAAACAAAGGCACCGTTTTTCTCTCTAAGGAGCATGGAGGGAAACAAAGGATGAGATGGAACAAAGACCCTCTTCCTTGGAGGACAAGGGGAGTGACTTTGCCATAAAGACCTGACCTCCTCAAGGGACAGCCCATATATGTGGGTGTTGGCCTCCAAACCCCACCCTCAGGAAGATGGCCCACTCACCTGGATTTTTGACGGATTCCACCAGGATTCTAAAGTTCTCTTTATTTGCACTCAGGCCTGCGATGACATCTTCAATCCTCCAGAGATCCTTCTGTATCTGCGATTTCTCCTGAGAAAGACAAGGTGGTGGTTCACTTCCTTCTTAGCACCTCACCAGAAGTTTCTCATTAAGACTTATGCTGTCATTTCAGACATAGCCCCTCACCCTGCAGGGCAGGAACCCCTTTGGAAACCCCACCAGGGCTAGAGCCAAGCCTGCCTCAGAGCTTCACAGGGAAACACACATATGAAAGACACCGAAGATCCAGGGGAGAAGTTCAGAGGAGGTTTCAGTGATTCACCTTGCCTAGTTCCCCCTAATTTAAAAAGAGATGCCTTAAATACTGTACACTTCCAAAGTATCTACAGCAATCAAAGTCAGAGACAGAAGAGTGGTTAGCAGAGGCTGGGGTGGAGAGGGAAATGAGGAGTATTGCTTAATGGGTACAGAGTTCCAGTTTTGCAAGATGAAGAAAGTTCTGCAAATTGGCTGCACCATCTTAACGTACTTAACACTACTCACCTGTATATTAAAAATGGCTAAGGTAAGAAGCTTTATGTTATGCATATTTTACCATGATTAAAAAAAAAAAAAAAAAAAAAAAAAAAAAAACAGACTGTTTCAGGCAACCACGGCAGAAGGGAAGAGAAGGCAAAGACTAGAGGTTACACCATCCCCAGAATATAAAGAGGATCTTTGAAAAGACAAAGCTGAATCCTGGGATTTGAGGTTCATTTAAAAGCACAATGGGCAATGAATCCTTGGCAAGAAAAAGAAATGAAGTACCGATACGTGTTACAACTTGGATCAACCCTGAAAATGTTTATGCCGCGTGAAAGAAGCTAGACACAGAGGCCACATTTTATATGATTTCACTTACATAAAATGTCCAGAAGAGGTAAATCCAAAGAAACACAAAAGAGAATATGGTTGGCTAGAGCAAGGCTGGGCAGGTGGGGGTGTGGACGAGGAAGGACTGTTAATAAAGAGAGGGTTTCTTTTTGGGGATGATGAAAATGTTATAAAATTGATTGTGGCAATAGTTGCCCAACTCTGAATATTCTAAAAACCCCTGAATTGTAGATTTTAAAAGGGTGAATCTTATGGTATGTGAATTATGTGATAAAACTTATGTACACTCTCACAAGTCACAAACAAAATCAGATGGGGACAGGTCCTAGAAAGCAGTGAGCAGGTTTAAGCATGATTAAGGGACTCTGGGCATTTTACTGAGTATAGTCGACACACAATGTTACATTAGTTTCAGGTGTACAACATAGTGATTCAACTTCTCTAACCCTTACACTATGCTCACCACAAGTGTAGCTACTATATGTCATGATACAGTGCTATCGCAATTACTATTATATTCCCTGTGCTGTGGCTTTTATTCCCACAATTTACTCATTCTATAACTGGAAGCCTGTACCTCCCACTCCTCTTCACCTGTTTTGTGCATCGCCTCCAACCCCCTTCCCTGCGGCAACCATCAGTTTGTTCTCTGTGCTTAGAGGTCTGATTCCTTTTTGTTTAGTCTTTTGTTTATTAGATTCCACATGACTGAAATAATATGGTATTTGTCTTTCTCAGTCTGACTTCTTTCACTTAGCATAATACTCTCCATCCATGTTCTTGCTAATGGCGTGAGCTCATCATTTTTATAACTGCCTAACATCCCATTGTGTGTGTATAACACATCTTCTCATAAAAATGTCTATTAGTTGACACTTAGGTTGCTTCCATTTCTTGGCTATTGTAAATATGCTTCAGTAAACATAGGGGTGCATGTATCTTTTCAAATTAGTATTTTCATTTCCTTTGCCTAAATACCCAGTATAGGAATGGTTGGATCATATGGTATTTCTAACTTTTTGAGGACCCTCCATGCTGTTTTCCAGAGTGGCTGCACCAATTTACACGCCCGCCAAACAGTACACGAGGGTCCTCCTTCTCCACATCTTCACCAACATTTATTTCTTGTCTTTTTTATTTTAGCCATTCCAACAGGTGTAAGGTAATCTCATTGTGGTTTTTTTTTCCCCCAAGATCTTATTTATTTATTTGACAGAGAGAGAGAGAGATCACAAGAGGCGGAGAGGCAGGCAGAGAGAGGGGGAAGCAGGCTCCCTGCTGAGCAGAGTGCCTAACTCAGGGCTCAATCCCAGGACCCTGAGATCATGACCTGAGCGGAAGGCAGAGGCTTAACCCACTGAGCCACCCAGGTGCCCCCTCATTGTGGTTTTGATTTGCATTGCCCTAATGATAAGTGATGTTGACCATCTTTTCATGTGTCTGTTGGCCATCTGTATGTCTTTGGCAAAATGTCTATTAGGGTCCTCTGCCCATTTTTAAATGTTTTTTGTTCTCTGGGGTCTTGGGGGGGGGCTTTGGTATTGACTTGTATAAGTCCTTTACATATTTTGGATATTAATTTGTGAGCACCTTTTAATAGAGTTGTTTAAACATCAAAATTTTTTTTTTAATTTTTAAATTGTCATGGGACAATGTAGCTTTGATCACTCCCCATAGACTTAAAAACAAAGGCTTCACAGCCCCATCTCCTCTCAAGGCAGCCAGCCATCCTCCAGTGGAAAAATTCTTGCATGTGTGATACTTAGGGACTTGCCTGATTCAGCAAGTAGACTATATGCCCTTGGTGTATCTTCACAGGTTCTCAGCACATGGATGATGAGTGAAAAAAGGCCCAATCACATAAAACTCCCTGATCAATGCTGCCCAACAGCTGGGACAACAGATGTCCGAAGCCTCCCTCCTAAGGGAGCTCACATTCTCATACTCTCTCCACCCTTCCAACACCAACGCACATCCTCAGGGCTGATAAATAAGGAAAGGGCTTGATGCTCAGCTCCACCCCAAAGCACAAGTGTCCTAAAACAGACATGGTATTGAACCCAGAGTGTGAAAGTGTGTGTGTGTGTGTGTGTGTGTGTGTGTGTGTGTGTGTGTGTAAGCTAACAGGATTATCTCAGGAGCTGAGGTCCCCAAGCAGGGTCCTGGGAACAGGTAGAGGAGCGTCGGAATAAAATCAACTCTCTCCCTACTCCGCCAGCGGGCTATCTGGCATACTTTTACCTGTCAGTTTGCAGTCCTGCCCCTATTTAGCCCTTCTGTCACCCCCAGAGAAGACCAAGGACAAGCAAAAGCCAGAGAGCCTCTAAGGTTCTCCAAGGACGATGGAATTTCAGAACTGAAGGACAAGGTGAAGGAAGCTTTTGGGGCACAGGGGGTGGTGCTTCATCCCTGGACCCTCACACCATGCTGGGCAGAAAGGCTCCTATGGACTGCATTCAGCAGACGCCTGCACTTACTGTCCAGAAGCAGGGACACGCACAGGCAGCCTCATCTATCACTGCGTCTCCCGGTTACCTCAATGTTCTTTTATCCTCTGGCTTGCCGGCGCAGGTAGTCATGAGGATCTTTACAAATAAAGCCACTCACCTTTACTGAAAAGCCTGTGAATTTTCTCACAGCCAAACCTGGCTAAAGGGGGCAAGTTTCCAAGCCCCCTGCCTGAGAATGTGTATATGGGGCTGCACGCATATCTCCACTCTTCCTGACTTATTCAGGACTCTAACAGCTTGCCTGGCCTAGAATTACACCAAAGAAGTTAGCACAAAGCCTATTCAAAGAAGGGCTCTGTGAGCTTCCCAGATCACAAAGTGGTGCTCAGGGAAAGCACGAGCAATGCCACCAGGCTAGGTGGAAGTCGAGTTGCAGGAGCTAGGCTTCAAACTAGCCTCTTTGTAACTTACTTACATGGTTAAGTACTTCAGGGAGTCTGTGACAAGACTTGTACATTTTACCCATTTGTTTTCCAGAGCAGAAAAAGGGATTCTGGGACTGCAGTATGTTAAATCACCATGAAATAAGGCATGGTAGAAACACAAATGGCCAATGACCATATAAAAAGATGTTTAACCTACCAGTAATTAAATAAATGCAAATTAAAACTAGATGTCGTTTTTCAGCCAGTGGACTGGCAAAAACTAAAAAGACTGATACTGTCAAGTGCTGGAGAAGAGTGGATAGAGGTGCAGCACCCTCATTCACTGCAGGTGGGAGGGCAAATGAGTGCAGCCTCTTAGAGGGTGACTGGCCAGCATCCACCAACATTTAAGATGTGCACTCATTTCAGTCTAGCAAGTCCACCCTCGGAGCCCATCTTAGATGAAAGCTTATAAATGAGCTTAAAAGGGCAGCTAGACAGATGCTCACTGTGGTACCATTTATAAAAGCAAAATACTGCAAATAACTTAAATGCCCATCAGAAAAGAACAGCTAAAATAGGGCATATCAAGACTACAAAACACTATGCAGCAGCTAAGAACTGATTTCTTTTAGTTTACACAGCTTTCTGAGATTATGGAAATCTTATTCTCTGTGCTGTTCAATATAGCAGCCACTAGACACAGGTGGCTACTGAGCACTGGAAATGATTCTAGCGTGACGGAGCACTGTATCTTTAATTTTAGTTACTTTCAATTAATTTATGTATACATTTAAATAGTTAACATTTAAATATCAGACAACATAAACTTGGGTATCTCTCCTGGAAAGATTTGCATAACGTGAAGTTATGACAAAAAAGCAAATTCCCGAACAATGTGTACATATGATCCCTCTTTAAGTAAACCCAACTCCCACTGCCAGATACATTACACTATCCTGTGGATGGACATATGTTTGAAAACAGACAAAAAGTGGTGTGGAAGGCGACGCCACACAGTGATGGCATGGATCACACACAGGGAAGGTGATGGGAAAGGAAGGGAGGCAAAAGAGCTTTCATTTCATTTTTTGCTTTTGCTTCTTACTGTTTGGCCTTTACAGAGAGATGCATTCATGTGTTATTTTTATAGTTACAGAAACATAAGAAATAAAAAGCTAAAAAAAAATCACTGCTAAAATTAATTAAAGAAGATCCAAGAAGACAAGTTTAATGGGATGGAACAGTTTAAGGAACTAGTAATTAGAAATAATCATTTGAAAGACATTGTCAACAATATTCACCTAGTGTTTTCAGGCCACTATGCCAAGTGCTGGGGTACCAAATAAGAACAGGAAAATGTTAGCTTGGATACAGGGAAATCATGGAGGGGGGGACAGCAGCAGGAGATGGACAACTTCTGGGGGACCTGGCAGGCCAGCCCTGAGCCTGTACAGGCAAGAGTATTTTCCATAGGGCCGTGGACCAGGTTTTCTGGGAATCAGCTCCTAATGGTGGGTGGAGGGACAACAGGCTTTTCCCAGGCCACACACCTAATCCCCACAGCCCCCACAGCCCCACAGCTCTACAGGTGAAGTCCCTCAGAAGGAACAGAGCTCAGAAGGGATGAAGAGCCTTGGGTCACCTGGAAAAAAAAGGCCCTTCTGTGTTGTTCCTGCAGGGTCTGCTTCAGCTGCTGCACATCACTCTCTAACTTCAGGTACTCGTTCCAGGCATTGTCCATCTCCTGTTGGCCAAGAAAATGCTCCTGAGTCTTAGTTATCCCCCGTCCCCCAGACGGCCCCATGAGCACCTGAGCTCTTGACCACTGCTGACCCAGCCAGGGGAAGACGGACAGGGAAAGGGCAGCCCAGCAGGTCTCAGGCAGGCCTGGCAGGAGAGAGACAGGGCTCATCTTCTCATTCCTGCTCTGACCCTGGCTACTGGAAATGTCGAACTGTCCCCTCTCCCACCACTGGAGATGCTCTGGTCCCCAGCCCTGGCAGAAAGGGCCTGCACCACATCAGATGGACAAATACAGTAGAAATTCTGATGCTTTGGAATTAACTGCACACAGATCAGGAAAATCTGGTCCCTTGGGTGTCACCGTAGCTATACAGCAGTCACTGACGGAAAGCATCCTGAGGTACCAGCAGAGACAGACATGTCACCCCCAGGCAAGGTGAGCTACTATCAGGAGGCAGCCTGGAGAAGTTCTGCTACTCCAAGACTCTTGTCCCTGGCCACCAACTCAACTACAGCTTGTGAGCTAGGAGAAGCAGCCCCTTGCCCAGCCCCCTGCCCAGCCCCTGGCCCAGCCCATCTTGGGGCTAGGGGATAGGGGCAGGAGAGTGTCTGCCACCCTCACACCCTCTACACACAGTGGACTCTCTGGAGATCTCTGCCCGGATGTGGACAAGGTCTTCCTGCAGCAACCTCTGCTGGTGAGCAATCTTCTCCAGGTGCTGGGGCTGGTCTCGGTACTGCTCCATCTGTCTGTGCAAAACCTCCAGCACAGACTCCAGCTGGTCCTATAGCAGGGAAGGGCCAAAGAGCAAGAGGAGAGCAGGACAGCCCCTGGAGGCCTCCCCATCTCATGCCAGGAACTAAGCAAACCTGCTGGATCTGAGACTGAAAGGCCCACAGCCTAGTTGAGGGCTCTGATTCCAGCTCTAACTCTGCCCACTGGGTGGGCTCCTGGGACGAACCACCTAACAGCTCTCTGCCTCAGTTTTCTCATTTATGAAGTGGGCATAAGGTCATCCACTCTTTATGGATAAATTAGGAGGATACATCAAAGAGAAGATGGAAAATTCTCTTTTCTTGGGGAAAAGAGCATGTTATGAACCTCCAGCATCGCAAGTATAATACCTTATTAAAGTTCAAAAAAGAAAAAAAAAATCATATTAAGTATCCAAGAAACCAAACATGGGCAGCCCCTGGCCTCTTCCTCCCCTCCCATCCAGACTTGCTTTCTCCATAGCCCAGATCCTAGGAGGAAAGGAGCTTTAGGAAAAGACAGCTTCTGTCCTGTTACAAGTGTGGCCACTTTCTCCAAGGCAGCCCTCTTCCATGGAGTTCAGGCACTTGAGCTCAGCACACATAAGCCAGCAGAGCCCTCCTCTCCCAGGCTGACCTCACGAGGCCTCCAAGGAGAGGAAGGCCAGAGCAGAATTAAGGTGGAAGAGGAGGAGGTTGCATTTGGAATAAACAGGCTTAAGTCTCCCCTTAAGATTTCCTCCTCTTTTCTTCCTCTTTCCTGCCTAAAGTTTAGGCAGAAATGCCCCTGGAAGCAAACATATTGTTCTGAGTAAACTAATACCCATTCTGGATAAATGAGTACATGTGACATACGAGTCCAATCTATATCTGAGGAAAGACAGCATGACAAAACCCCCTCCACTCAGCCCAAGGTTATGCAAAACCGATGCATACTTTGTTCTCCTTGAGGGCTCGGATCTTGTCTTCCAAGTCCTGGAGGATCCTGTCTTGTTCACAGAAGATGCTCAGTTTGACCTGTGAGCAAGAACAGGTTGGAGAGGGCCTGGGATGATGAGAAAAGGGCACGACCTTGAAGTGTGATCAGAAAGCCTTTGGCTACGGAACCATCCAAGCCCTGCCTGAAGCTGCCCGCCTTGGGTCTGGGGAAAACAGGCAGCCAGAGATTCAGACTGTTGCCCTGCTCACTCACGTCAATGTCACTCTCTGCGATCTTCACCGGCTTCAGACTCCGATCCTTGACCAGGTCCCGGCCCGTCATCTGGGAGGTGAACAATTTAAAGGAGATTAACCACAAGGTTCAGGATCAGATCTCGAGAAGAAGAGTTAGCTAGCCCCACGATGGACAAGTGTGGAAGTCTTGGTGGTAGGGTCATGGCATGAAACGGGTAAAAACTCAGGTGAGACCTGATTTTTATGCCTACTTCATTTTAGGGAAAAACCAAAACCTTTTTGTGATCCAAGAAACACTTGTAAATTTCTCAAATTTAAAGAAAAAGAAGACATTCAAGTTCTAGTATCATTGACTGTGGAAGCTAAAATTTGCCCAAAATGAATTCAGTATGAATCTTGGAAGATTTAAAAGAGAGTTTCGCTACCGAACCTGGGGTCAACCCAAGTTACAGAAGTCTATGGCCCCCAGCCCAGGGCAGTGAGGTGGACCAGAGGAACCTGTGAGTCCCCGGGGCATCTCCAAGACTTAGTTTAAGGAAGCCTCTGAGCTGCTAACCTCCCCTCTGAGCAAGGTCAGTCTTTCTCACCCTATACCATTTGGGAAGAAAATCAGGTCAAGGGATGAAGGAACCTAGGTAACTCCTGGTTGGGATTTTCAATTGATCCCTAAATAACTGAGGCAGATCGTATTTGTATACGTCACAAGTTACCCTGTCCTCTCAAGAATGGAAACCAAAATCAGGAGACAAAAATCATCTAAACTTATGGGTCAGTGGGCATTCACAACATTGTCCATCCTTCCCTTGACCCCATGTGGGCACCATGCTGGCATCTCCCACTGACCCCTACAAAGCTAAACCCAACTCTTCAGCCCATGTTTTCACTTCCCCTAATTTCCTTCTTGCCAAAAGCTGTGTGGGATGGGGCTGGGGAGACTTTTCCACAGATGTACCCCCACGGCCAAGCCATGGTCAGAGAGAGCCAGGTCGAATGTGTCCCATGCACAGAAAGCCATCTTGCTGAATTCCATTTTACCGATGTGACCACAGAAACAGAGGGTAGAACCTATCTCTTCCATGAGACAGATAGTGTGTATATTAGGCCAGGGGTTCCAGTGTGGAGGGACAGACATTTGCTGGAGAGATGGCTCTCACTTTCTCCCTACTCCATCTGAGAGGTCCAGAAGGTTGTGTGAATAAGAAGCAGAAATATATTAGCAAACATTCCCCTCACAACTCAAGCCAATCATGTCCCCAGCTGTCCTGCACTCCTCCTTCCTCTCATCATCAGCAAATGCCAAGGTCAAGGTCAAGGGATGATGCCCTGTCCATGCCTTAGGCTGAGGACAGAGTCTAGCTGCAGACACAACCCCAACCCATTCCCATGTTCCCTGTGGTCACACAGCAGAGGGCAGGGACCACTGTCTTTTATATCTTGGTAAAGTCAGCCTAAACATAAAGCCTGGTATGCTGGAAGGCACTGGGCAAATGCTTATTGCATTGGAGGTAGGTCAAAGGCAAACACATGTGGGTCAGTAGAATTCCTGGAAAAAGTAGAGCTCCAGCCAAATTCTGCTCTTCAGACTGGCATATTATGTATGTGTACATACATCTACACACACAGTCAAGGACACATGGACTACTGCCACAATCCACAAACAAACCACTGGCTGCTTCAAGGACAGAGGGCTGGGAAAGGCAGGAAGAGGAGTGGAGGAGGGGGGAGGGGTGGAATTAACTCTGATGAACCAGGAACAGCTGACCTCCAGGCAGAACTTGGCCTTTAAACTCAGGGGAACCCAGCAGGTGAAAGTAAGGAGGTCACTCTATGTCACAGTCCCTCATCAAAGCAGAAGACAATGAGCCTGTCTACTCTCCAGGGGCTGACCCTTGGCTCACTTCCTAAGAAGAAATCATTTTCAAACTGAGATATGCTGTGGAGATTTTGTTCCTCCTAGCAAAACTCTTCCCTTTATTTCACTAGAGCTTTTAACAGATACTATCTTTTTGATACTGAAATAGCAAGGCAGAGAATCTAATTGAGCAGTGCCTCATCTACCCAACACCGTCAAGAAAGGAATGACATGTTCTACACAAAAAGGGCATTTTGAGAAAGCTGAACCTTTTAAACTTTTTGACGGAAAGGTTTCTAAAAGTCAGTCCTATGCTGCCTTCATGGAACTGAATATAAATTCAACCTTTTGGGGATGAATCAGAGTCATTACAAAAATCAGTGATATGGAATTTCTTAGAAGTCAGTGTTTTGGGACTATTTGGCCCTTGATTAAATGCTTTCTAATTTCTGTGCTTACATTTCCATTGTAGATTGACACATAATGTTTCTTTTCCCTCTCAGAATATTAGTATGCCTTCTTTTCAAAGAAGTAACTCTCTCTTGTTCCCATTTAAGAGCTGCATTTAAGGTGCTGAAAGTTAGGAATTCAAATGGCTGAGTCTATTAGGACGGGAGAGTCAACAGAGGTGACACTTGCTGCTTTTCCAGAACTCCCTCCCTCCAGTGGTTCTGGTGGCTTCAGGGGAGGTCCTCCCACAGTTTGTGTCTTCCAGTCTAAGGGCCTTAGCACGTCAGATGATATGCTCTGTCTCCCCTCAGTGAACAATGACCCGATTAGGGGTGACCGTGGGAACTGGGACACATTTTTCATATATTCTCTGTATCCTGAAAGTCCAGCATATTGAGGATATTTGGGAAATGTCTGTTTAATGAACGTGTGAATGTAACAAAACGGAGGGAGCTCGAGTAAAGGGCATGCTTTAGAGCATGAGCTTCAGGAAAGCGTTTACATAGCTCAGAGGCCCTTGAAACTTCTGAATTTAGCTTTGTTCCACAGAATCAAGGCTACTACAAGTATCCACAAGTAGTTTACTACATCTAATTTTCCTTTTAAAACTGTGCTTTGTGATAGCAATGTTTAGATCCATTTAAAATGTCAACTATGGGTGTCCAGCATCTCTGTCACCAGAAAAAGTGGAAGTCAGTGGGTGTTTATCCCTTTGAAAGAGTCTGTGCACCAGAAAAGAACTGAAGGCCACCCAGGCATTTTACCTCACCCTCCATCACATCCCAACACACGTTTTCTCGGGGCGCAGGATGACTGCACATAGCATCTGCTTCCCAACCTGCAGCCTCCCTTGGAAAGCTATAAAAGCTGGCCATATTTCAGGTACTACTTCTGCATCCGTCAAAGGGAACCGTCTGGGGTGGGGGGTTGGGGAGTGGGCAGGGGAGAACCGTCTTGTTCTAGTCCTGCTTTAGACTGTTTTCAAATACCAATACCCTGCCCTGAAGAAAAGCCACCCAATCCCAGGGCCATGGTGGGATCTCAGGATACCCCAGCTCCTCCACGGTGACCAGAAACTGCTATTACTTCCCAAGGAACTCACACTTGACTACACAGACCACACTGGTCTCTGTCGAGGTCAGTCCTCACCATGGAGGCAGATGAGAGAGAATGGGAACACAACACAAGCTGGTGGCAAGCCAGGCAAGCCCCCACCCCACCACAATCCCAAGGCAACACAAAAGATGGAGTCACAGAACATCGCAGATGAGAGGCTCAGCCTGGTGCACCAGCCAAAATGCTGAAGGGAGCTTCAGTAGGAGAAAAACATAAACCAAAATGACTTGCAGGAAGCCTGGGGGCGGTCAGGAGAGCCCCTGGTTAAGCAAGTGACGAGGTCAGCACTGAGCCAGAAGCAATGGAATGGCCCCGCTTAGAGACACAGATCAGATCATCTTACGCTTCTCCTGGGCCGACAGCCCCGTGCTGACTTCTTCAGCACTTTGTAAAGCACGTTGATCAAAGGTTCATTATTTTTTATCTGTTCCAAACAAAAAGGCAAATATAACAAAACGAAACAGGTGAGACATCAAAAGACACTTGAAGGAGCCAGAATTTGGGGAACTGGCCGGGGGAAACCTTAGGGAGGATGTGTGCTGTGCGATTCAAATGATCATGTCTCAGTCTGGTCATGCTGCTTCCCGCCTGCTGACCTTTCCAGACTTCGTTCCCTCACAGATGAAACAGAGGATAAGAAGCTCTGCCTGAAGGATCTTTGTGCAGGCTAGTTCATGTGAAAGGGCCGATGCCAGGGCCCGCTGCCTTCCAATTCCCCCTGCAGAAGGCAAGAGGAAACTTTGCTTCCTCCTTTGCTCTCCTTGAATAATGAATCACTAGGGAGGCGGTAGACATTAGTCTCATCCCTGCCCCATGTTTTCCACCTTTAGTCCCCCAGACCCTCGTCTCCACACTTACGTTCATCTAAATAATGTCTAACCAGTGATCCCAAATGTTTACAGCTCCTTTGCGGGAACACTGTCCCTACCCGCTAAGACAGTGCACCTCAACCCCGGCTGAACACCAGCATCACCTGGGTGGTTTAAAAAAAAAACAAAAAAACAACAACTGATGTCTAAGTCGCACTCCAAGAGACTTGGGTGTAAATCAGTTTGGGGTGGAGCCTGAGCATCCAGATCCTTAACAGCCCCTCCGGATGATACTGATACGCAGCTAAGACTGGGCACCACCACCACCGCAACGAGGGCTTCTCAAACTTCAGCACGCTTCAGAATCACCTGGAGGGCTTGCTAATACAGCTGACCCTTGAGAACATGGGTTTAAATCGTCAGGGCCCACATATATGTGGATTTTTTTCAACGAATGCAATACAGTCCTAGAAATTTTCTTTTCTCGATGATTTTATCAGTTTCTTTTCTCCAGCTTACTCCATTACAAGCATATAGTCTGTAATACACATAATGTATAAAATATGTGTTAACTGTTCAGTTACCAGTAAAACTTCCTGTCAACAGTAGGCTATTAAGAGTTAAGTTCTGGGCGCCTGGGTGGCTCAGTTGGTTGAGCAACTGCCTTCGGCTCAGGTCATGATCCCGGACTTCCGGGATCGAGTCCCGCGTCGGGCTCCCAGCTCCTTGGGGAGTCTGCTTCTCCCTCTGACCTTCTCCTCTCTCATGCTCTCTCTCACTCATTCTCCCTCAAATAAATAAATAAAATCTTAAAAAAAAAAAAAAAAGAGTTCAGTTCTGGGGGGTCAAGTTATACTTGGATTTGCAACTGTGCAAGAAGTTGGCACCCCTAACCCACATGCTGTTCAAGGGTGAACTGTATACAGATTTGCTGGGCCCCACATTTAGAGGTTCTCACTGAGCCGATCTGGGGTGGGAGACCCAAGATTTTGCATTCCTAACAAATTCCCAGGTATTGCTGATGCTGTTGTTCTGGGATCACACTTTGAGAACCACTGCTTTGAAACAATGTTTCTCAACCCTGGCCATACATTAGAAACACCTAGGGAATTTATTTGTTTTTGTTTTTTTTTTTAAGAGTTATTCATTTATTTGAGGGAGAAAGAGCAAGAGAGAGCACACCTGAATGGGAGTGAGAGGCAGAGGGAGAGGGAGAGACTCTCAAGCAGACAGGGCTTGATCCCACGACTAATGAGATCATGACCTATCTGAAACCAAGAGCCAGACACTCAACCGAGCCACCCAGATGCCCCTGTTCATTTGTTTTTAAAAAAAAAATAATTGCCAAGTATTACCAATTAGATCAGAGTCTAAGTGCTGGGATCAAAGCACTGATATTCATTTTACAAACTCCCCTGGTTGTTCTAGTTCATGGCCAGGGTTAATAATCTCTGTTCCAGAACAGATCTCAAACTTTTTTGTGCCCAAGAATTATTCCAGAGCTTGATTAAAAAACAAGAACAAACACCAAACAAACAAGCAAGCAAAAAAGGCAGAATTCTGGGCACCATTTCCAGAGGTTCTAATTCAATAGAACCCCCTAAATCTGTACTTAAAAAAAAAAAAATCAAGCTCCCAGGTGATCTTGAAATAGGTGGTGTTCCAGAACACAACTTAAGAAACTTGGCTCTAGAAGCTAACTTTGGAAAGAGACCCTGAACAGAGGAGCCCTGATCTCAGGCTTAGTCAGGAAGAGGCCAGAGGCCAAGCGACCAGAGCCCCAGCTGACACATCCCTCAGTCAGGAATGACAGCCTCTGGGGGCACCACCTGAACAGCCACAGATACTCACCCTTCCACCTCCCCTTCCCAGCTGTCTTCACAGATGCATGAAAGCAATCTAAGCTGTCAACAACAGTGACCCTACACCTGCTTCTTCAGACCCAGCCAGGGTGTGCGGTTCTGAAAAGCAGAACCATGATGCCAGAAACACAGTTCAGTGAGTACAACTTTAGGGTGGGCATAGTACATGGTGCATGGAAGAAAGAAGGCAGGAATAAAGTCAGACCCTGGGTTTAAATTCCAGACCTATCGCTGTGGAAGTGACCTCTCCTGATACTTGGATTCTTGGTTAGGAAGGTGGCTATCATCACTCCTATTGCTCGAAACTGCTGAGAAGACCAAGAGCCATAATGAACAACACGCACCCAAACCCCGCCAGGCGGGAACAGATGCCTCATCGGGGTGAAGTCCTGTCCACTCTGCAGCACCAAGTAAAATGCCAGACAAGCTCTTTTGTGAAAAGAACGTTAATACAGAGTATCTTCTAAAAGAGTGGAGTCTACCTTTGTTTGAAACTGGGCACCACAACAGAAATGCTCACTTTAGGGAGAAAAAGCTCCCACAACATGGAGGGAAGCAAACACCACCAACTGATTCTGGAAGCTGAGCATTGGGTGATTGGTGGTTGTGGTGGTGGTGGTGGTAGAGGAGGAGGAGGTGGTGGTGGTGGTGGCGGTGGAGGTGGCAAAGGGAGGGTTTGGATCGTTCAGTCTGTGGCCTTTGGAACAGGGACATGGGGGAGCCTAGGGCAACCAGGCAGGGATAGGGAGGTCGACTTTCTCCAGTGACGCTTATCTCCTTCCTCACCCCCTCAAGAACCCAGAGGAACCTCTCACAAGCAGCTAGTCATGGTGGGGCTGTGTCACGGCTACCCCCACACCCAGTCTGGGCTTCAGGGCTCATTCGACTGTGTCCACAGAGGCCCTCATCTCAGGGACCCCAGCTGAACTCAGCATTAGCTCATTTTGTTGAGCATGTCACCATCTCAAGAGCCAATGGACCTTAGGGTTTTCCCAACGCAGTCACGCGCCACCCCCCTTGTCCCACAGTGCTCATCTAGCTTCACTGACATCCCAGAGAAGGGGGGGTGGTCCACCACAACCTGAGCAGGCCCTTTTAGAAACCCCTCTATTTGTAGCTGCTATCCACTTATCTTTTTTTTTTTTAATTGAAGTACAGTTGACTCATGCTATCCATTTGTCTTCATTCCCCCTTGCAGTCACAGAAGACACATGGTAACAGTTCAGAGCTTTGTCGACTGTCTCTAGGTCTCCTGAATTACCCAGAACTCTCTCCATCACTCTGTAGCACAGCTGTGCTAACTGCTGCTGATTTTCTTGTTTCTGCCCAGCATGCCATCCCATTAGGGAACCCCTCCCTCACTCCACAGGGAGTCTGGATTTACAAGTGGTCACCCATGGGGATGCTGGGCTGGAAAAAAAGTAAACTTAGGTTTGCAGGTGGCCACATTCCCTGCCATGTGGACACAGCCCACACACCAGGGAAACTAGAACAGTGATGACGTGGCCTGAGCTTCTGGGATGATGCAGCCCTTGGCTAAAAGAACCAGTATATTCCCTCTTTGGGTTATTAGCAGGTTCATATGGGTTTCAGACACTTGCAAACAAAAGCATCCTGCCTAATACATCCTCAGCCATTGTTTTATAGGCTCTCAATACCTCTGCTTTGCTTCCAGCCCTTTCTTCAGCTGGGTCCTGAAGTGAAACACCATCTGGGAACCCTATGCCCCAGCTGGGTTTGAGTGGAGCAGAGCAGGTTCACTGCCTCCCTGACGTGGGCACTCTGCTGTGTATTGGAGAGAGGTTAAGGCGGCGCCAACATTTCTGGCAGCCACACCAGACAGACAACTCACACACAGCACAAACCCCAGCATCTCCCTGCTACCAGTGCAGCTCATTTGTGGGGAAAGTTCTCTGAGAGGAGCTTAGCAACTGGAATAACAAAAATAAGACTGGGGAAATTCTGGTATCAACACAGCTGTTTTCCATGACAGTGACAACTTCCAGAAAGTCACTAATTAATGTTCCGGGTGCGGACAGCTCCTAGCTCATCCCAAGGACACACCTTGCCTCTATCACATTAAGCACACTTCCTAGGATAATGACCCCAGTTCAGTTCCATCAAAAACTGAAATGCCTTTGGATCCACAGTAGTGGAAGCAGCATTTTCAGAGAGGCTGGGAGGCCAGGGAACTGAAGTTTCAGAGTTAGAGCTACAGCTAAATACCAGCTTGCCAGTAATCATTTATGTGGCCTTATGGAAGAGCCTTAATCAGTGAAAAAAAAGATAACACCACCCTCCTTCTAGGGTTACTGTGGGATTTACATAATTTAACAGAAGTAAAACACAGTGACCATCACACATTTTACCCTCTATTGTTACTAAGCTTCTGTTGGTAGTCAGGACACCCAAGGACTTCAGGCCCTGCTGTCCTGTGCCTCAGTTTCTCTCTTTAAAGCTCTTTTAACTCAATTTCTATAATCTTGAAATAAAACAGACCTGAGCTGAATCTTCCCTCCAGGACCAGCTGTGAGTTTCTGCTGTCCCATATAAACAGGAACCAGAAGACAGAGATTCCAATTACTCTAGCCTGGACTCTCTAAGCTCTCTTTTGCACCATGCACCAAGCATGGTGACTGTTTCAAGGTACACCCATGCTACTGGGGAGGCAAATCTCTCTTACCAGCCTAAGTACGTCGTGAATGCTCCATAAGTACTTCTAGTTGACTGCATGGCCCTGGGGCAGAGGTGAGAAGAACCAGGGGGTGGCATGGTGACTGGCTATTGGGGAGGCCAGTGAATGGAGACGAGGTGGTAACACATGGCAGGTGAAGGTGGGTGGACCTCTCTCCGGGCCAGGTGGGGGTGGTGGGCATGCTGGGAGGAGCCTGCCTAGAATCAGGGCACAGCAGGAGGGGCTGGGCTGCACATTTTGCATCCTGAGGCATGACTACCAAACCTACAATATTCACTCGTGCTCTGTGTGATCCGACCACCACATAAGCTAGACAATGTCCTGGTTTTGAGAGAACTCTCCTTATTTTGCTCATGTCAGAAAGCCAAGTCTGACTTCTGTTCACTACACCCCTCCTTCCTAAAGAATCAGGAACATGCACGGTCTGCCTCCTCCAGCCCTGGCCACACCACTCTACCCCTATCTCTCCTTGACTCCCACTGTTCCCTTCCCTGTAATTTCAATAAACTCAAACCCTCTGGCTCTACAAGGCTCTAAACACATGCCACCTCCTTCAGAACTCCTCCCAGCATCACAGCCCACGGTGACCTTCACTATTTCAACTCCAAGCACTAGGCCAGACAGATCTTTGTAAACTCGTTATAAACAAGTCTGTGTTATTTTGGAAGATTTTCTTTTTCTAACCCAGACTATTTGGGAGTTTCTCAGGGACTCAGAGAGTCTTATTTTTCCTCTTACATGTCCCTTAGGCTTCTCTAGAGCTGGTTATACAGCAAGTGCTCATCAGATCTGGAAGCTAACTAGTTGATACCTAATCAAAGGCTCTGATCTTGTCTCAGTGTGGGGAGGCCCCCTGCATCTGCTACCGCAGGGCCTAATGTTCGTCATCTTGCTTCTACAAGGCTGGATGACAATCCCCATGTTAAAGACACCTCAAGCCAGGTACCCAGGGGAGCTGGGGGAGGCACGCCCCGTGGCAGTAGCCTGGGTGTCCTTCCACAGCTCGCCCCAATCTCTCACTCCCACAGTTAATTAAAGGTCACATTCCTTCAGTCAATTTCATGGTTTAGGCATCAGAAGTGCTTTTCACAGTGGGAGCTTTCAGAGAGCCGGGGTAAGGAAACAAGAGCAGCCCTCTTTCACATAGAATGCCTCTCACACTTCTCCGCCAGCTTTCTCTCAGTCTCTGTGCTCTGAAGGCTGATCTCAAGCCCAAAGCTTTCTCACCTACAGCAAGGCGCCCAGCGCTCTTCTCCTGAATGCAGACGGGAGACTAACCATACTGGGGGCTCCCACCTGGGACACCACGGTGGGCCTCAGAGCTGCAGAACTCCGTGTGGAACCTGTTCCCGCAGCAACAAAACCAAAAAAAGCCACCAAGATACTCGTGGCTGAAAACGCACATCAGTTGCACCCTATGAGCCAAACCTCTGAGGAAGGAACTAGTTACTGTTTAGAAGCCTTTGGGTCCTGACCGAGGATGGAAGAGATCAAGATCTCGTACCCTCATTTCATAAGACTGAAATCTTAGAGCAGAACTCACAAGAAACTGAACCCAGTGTTCAAGGTAGTAAGAAATAAAACTCTTCCAATTTAGTCAGAAGATGTCTTCATTTGGGATCCAGATTTGGTAAGAACTTTGGCTTTGGGCTTGGCTCCATGAGGCTGACACGCTCAGAAAGGTGGGTGTCCAAGGGAGGCAAGATGCTTGACATCCCTCACCTTTAGGTCCAAGTACTCCAGGTCCTTCTTCAGCTGGAGGTAGGTATCATCAGCCTTCAAATGAATCAAAGAGAGAAAAAAGCCAGTTACAAACACCAAGGGTTTCCAAAACTTGGGGCTTCGTGTGTGAATCCTTGACACTGCACAGCTTCGGGGTCAAGGAACTATATAGCGGGCTAATATCTGCAGCCATGGAGGAAGCATGTCTCAGTGTAGCCCAGAGCCTTCTTTGAGCATTAAGGATCTTGCAGGTCACTGTGGGGAAAAGCCAGTGAGTCCTGTAGTTGGCGGGTGGCAGGAGTGGGAAGTGCAGTTTGATGGGGAGACAGCACACATACCACCACAGGGCTAGGACCGCAGTGCAGCTGAGGCCAGTGGTGAGCTCCTGAGACAGAACTAGAGAGATCTAGCTAGAAGAGGACAGGCAACCCCTGAGTTAGGGACCCAACAATCACCAATGCTCCAATCCTTGTCATCAAACCTTTTCACTGGCCCACTTAATACGCATGAGGCAAAATGACCCTCTGATTAGTGTGGCTAATGTCTCAAAGGGGCAGGGAGATGACCTGGGGACTCAGGTGGGTCCTGACATGACCTTGGGTTCTAGGATGATAAGCTCTAGCAGCTACTGGAAGTTTTAGCTCCCTTTGCTCAGCACGGGACCATGTCAGGAGCTAGCTAAGAAGTTTCAGTGTCAGACCCATCTGCCTACACTGTCTCTGACAATCCATTGAGTTCTTCAGTGAAATTACCAGGAACAGTGAAAATAAGCAAGAGACTTTTTCATTTTCTAGGACCTGTGTTTCCCATTAATAGCCCACAGAAACTGTTAGGCAGAGGGGCTGCAAATGCTTAAGAAAAATGGCCCAGGAGCCACTTTCTCAACCAGCTAAGAGGTCTCCCAGCAAACTGAGGCAAACCAGAGCTGCAGGAGAAGGCCCTGTTTACACCTCTGATGTCAAACAAGTAAACAATGTGAGATGTTCAGGCTGTGCTTTTAAGCATGAGAAGACCTAAAGGACCATTAACAGGGAAACTGGTGACTTCTGAGATGGTATTTCCATCTCTAAACTGTCTCCTCACCCATCCCTACTCCCCCAATCAGCCCAGTCCCTATACACCTTCAACAGCAGTAAGGAGGACTGAGCAGAGGAATATTGTTAAAAATCCCTCAAATTCACAACTTAGGGGTTTTGTTTGTGTTCTCTCACATTCATTTTTCCAAGTACATTTCCTGGGTCCCTCTAAACAGGACAGTTAAAGAAGGTGACACTTCTGTTACCTTTCTCTTCTGTCCCCTGCCTACTTTTGTGCAGTCCAGAGGGACCAATCTTGTATGGACATTGTTAAGGTGCTCAAGATGCCTGGGAGAGCAATTCCTTGGTCACTCCTTAAGAAGCTTGCCTGCAAACCTCCATGTCTCAAAAGGTTTAGAACACTATGGCAGATAGGACCTGATTTGGGCTCCAGCCCTCATGCCACTGGCTGAGGGGTCCCGGGCAGGTCACTTCCCCTTCTGGATCTGGTGCCTTGCGTGTGGCAGTAACCCCTGTCCTCCCTCACCTCTCCAAGGTACAGTGAGGTTCTCCAGGATAAGGGACATGAGGATGCTTTGTCCAGATCAGAGAGGACACCCTGCCTTTTCCCTCTGGGTTGACACCAGTGAAACATACCTTTCTGCACCCCAAGGAGTGGCCACAGTGGCAACAAGGATGACAGCCAGCAAAGCCCTTCAGACATGAGCACACATCAGCCTGGCAGTCACTACTCACAGCTGGAGAAGCCACCGTCGAGGTCCCTCACGGCACATGCAGGCCCCTCCCCAGCACCAGAGGCGTGGGCTCCCCCCTACCCCCGGCCCCTGCACAGTGTCTGGCAATAGCAACCAGAAGCAGACAGGCAGGGAATGAGGGGACGAGCCAGACAGCAAATATAGACGAGAGCGTGGGCACGAGAAAACACGGGCCAGCACATCACTCCGTTGCCCCACAGCAGGGAGGCCCCGGCCCTGAGAAAGCCCAGCAGCGCTGACCTGGCAGGCGGGCCATGTCAGCTGGTGCTGCAGTAACTGGCCGACGGCGAGATTGCGCACGCTGGCCAGCCTCGCCTGGTGCCGCCGTAAGCGGGTGAGAAGCCTCGAGAGCTCCTCCAGCTGCAGGTGTGTAGACACATCACGAGGAAATTAGCCACCGCAGGAGCACGACGCTATAATTACTCTTCACCCCGGGGCCGGGACAGCACTGACGTGACACCATTAAGTAATTATTGCATTAATTCTGTCATCAGAACAAATAAAGGTGCTGGCAGGAAAGGGGCTGCAGGAAGCACGTTTTATCTTTTTTTTTTTTTAGGAAACAGCAACGTACAGTGCAACCTCACCCCGATGGGAGCTTTAAAGGCAAAGTTAACTAACCAAAGCAAAGACCTGGACAAAAGGATAGGAGCTAACGGCAGAGACGCTGGGAAAATGCTGCAGGCAAAATGCTGCCTGAAAGAGAAGAAAAGCCCACATTCTCCTTCATTCCCCTAAGTTCTCCCTCCGATTTTGGAGGAGCCCAAGTCGGCTGGATGACACAGAGCAAGTCACTGGACTTCTCTGAGCCTCAGCCTCCTCATCTCTAACGTGGGGGCTGACGGCTGCCCTGCACACTGTCGGTGACGGGCTCGGGGTGGGGGGAGCACCGGCTGAGCCGGCACCCTGCAGGCGGTAGCACATTCACGGGGCAGGGGAGATGAGGGGTGGCTTACCGATTTTCCATGGAGACTGGGAGCGCTGACTGTGTGGGTCACATAGCCCATGGAGGGCATGGAGCGGCGGTCCACGTGAGAGGAGTTCTACAAGTGGGGGAGACAGGAGATCAGCCTGTGGGCCGAACCTCTGCCCCCTCCGCCCCTCTCTGCCGAGATGGCCTGGCCCACGACACTACCCCTCTTCATCTGTGAAACGGGGGGTCCACGTATTTCTTACTGGGTTATAACAACAGTAAACTGGGGAAGCCCCCTGGAGAAGTAAAGTAGAAGTTGGGTTATTATAAATTACTGAACCGGCTGAACACAGACATCTTTTCCCGCAGACTTCCAGTTGGATGATCCTTCGTCTCTTAATGCCTCAGAGTTCTCATCTGTGCAATGGGCCTAACAGCACCTACCTCACTGGGGTGTGGAAAGCATTAAAAGAAAGCCTTTAGTATTGCAGCTGGCACCTAAAAGTACCACAGAGATGTCACCTCTCCTTATTTGAAATTGCTCAAATTAGTGTTCAAACCATGGGAGGGTCCTGGTGCCCTAATGCTGAACCCCACTGCCTGGCAGCCCTCCAGAGACTCACCTTGGTGGCGTGGCCCCGTGCCTTCCTGGGAGAGCCCCCCAGGGAGATGTCCACGCTCCTCCGCTGGTCCGGGGGCTTCACGGTGACCCTCTCCGCTGGCGTGTGCGGCCGCCGGGGTGGGAAAACCCTCGGGGGGCCCGGAGGAGGGATGTCGGAGGGAGACGGAGGCACAGAGATGGAGCGGGGCACCTCCAGCATGCTTCTGCTCCGGCCCTGGTCGGTGAAGTCCGGGGAACCAGCGCAGATGGGCGCTGTGGGGCTGCCATGCCGGAACTGCTGCCGTTGCTGCCACTCGTAGAGCTGCCACACCGTGCCATCCCGGTGCGCCCGGCGCTCCTCACTCGACATCTTCAGGTGACTGGCTCGGTCCTGCGCATACTTGTAGTCACTGGGCAGGTCGCGGGGAGGGGGCGAGGAGCCCCCTGAGGGATATCGGGAGCTCTTAGGCAGAGTCTGGTAATTTTCTGGGAAGGACAGTGACTGGCTGGGACCCTGGCGAGGAAGGGTCTGGTCCAGGGGCAGGCTGAAGGAAGAGAGAAGGAAGACGGGTAAGACGACCAGCATGGAATCGTGCTGGAAACTCGGCGAGGTAAGTCCACAGTGCCAGGCACGAGGGAGCCCTGCGAGAACCCCCAAAGAACAATCGAACCAGATGCCCCGGCCCTCGGTCACTCCCGCCCTATGCGGAGGACTCTAAAACCGTTGTTCTCCAACCACCTGGGAGTATCAGCCTCCCCATCAGGCGGCCTAGCTGCCCCACACCCAACGCTTCAAGTGCAAGGTGATGAAACCCGCCTCCTCCTCTCCTTCTCGCTATCAGTCCGCTCTTCCAAACGGGTGTGTCTGTTCCTAGGAAATGCCTCCTGATTCCCCAGTCACTGAGACTTGCCCTCTGCTGGTATCCTCACACCAAATTCTGAGGCTTTTAATGCAAGTGGCTGGCACCAGCTCTTTTCTTTTTCTACTACTCTAGTCCAGATACTGATTTAATCATCCCCCTCCCACCCAGATCACTCAGAGACCTTCCTAACCAGTGTCCGCACCGAACACAGTCAACTGCTTGGATCTAATCACTCCCTTGCTCCAAAAAGGTCAATGACTCCCCACTGCTTATGAAATAAAATTGAAACTCTTCAGCCTGGAACTCACCACTCTCTAGCACCTGATCCCAACCCACCTTGCAGTCCTGCTGTTTTCTCACTGCTTCTCCCACAGGACTGGGCTGGGGCAAGCCAGGCATCGAAGGCCAAACAGTTAAAGAGGCACATCCACTCAGGTGCACCCCAGCACTTGCTGGGATCTAGGAATGAGAGCCTCACCCTAATCCCACCTAGCCTCCTACATACCTGGGGAAAATGTGGGAGAGCTTGACCTGGGTTTGAATGCTAGCTCTCCCATCCATTGGCTAGATGACCCTTGGATGGCTCTGAGCCTCAGCTTCCTCACCTGTAGGTAACATGAGGACAGAACTATCTCCCTCATAAGACTGTTCTGAAGAGTAAATGAGACAAGAAAATGCAGCCTCCGTGCTTGATGCACAAAAGCTACTTCTCAATAGGTTCTCCCTTTTACCTCTCTTTATTCTCATAGTATTGTTCTTCCCTCCCTTACCTGTATGGGGTTTCCTTGCCCTATTCACCCAAATCTCACTCATTTTCTATGACACTATCCTATGCTCCTCCCAGAGAGAACTTCTGCAGCTCTCAGGGCTCCCACTCTGCTCTGACCTAGGTATTATGTTGTAGGAAATTTGTCCAAGGTCTTTTTATTGATGCAAACTTTTCATCCTTGAAAGAAAGACATCTCTTCCCCAGCCAACCTGTAAAATCTCAGAGGGCAGGAACTAAGTCTCGCATTCTGCGGTATTGCCCACAGTCTGACAAAGTCCTGATGCATAACCAGCTAGCCACTGCTCTAAGCCAGTGCATCCAAAGTATGGTCTTAGATGGGCAGCATCAGCACCACTTGGGAACTCGTTAGAAATGCAGGTTAGGTGGGGTGCCTGGGTGGCTCAGTGGGTTAAAGCCTCTGCCTTCAGCTCAGGTCATGATCCCAGGGTCCTGGGATCGAGCCCCACATCGCGTTCTCTGCTCAGTGGGGAGCCTGCTTCCCCCTCTCTCTCTGCCTGCCTCTCTGCCTACTTGTGATCTCTCTGTCAAATAAATAAATAAAATCTTAAAAAAAAAAAAAGAAATGTAGGTTATCAGTCCCCACCCCAGATCTGCCAAATCAGAAACACTGGGGATAGATCCCGGCCTCCTGTGTTCGAACAAGCCCTCCAGGTGGCCAATTAAAAAGTGCTATTCTAACTGTTCTTAAATTCATCTCATTTAATCACTTTCTCACTATGACCTCAGTAAATATCTTTTATATCCTCACGTTTCCTCCTATAACATGAGGATACTAAGAACCTAACAGATTGTTGTGCGGATTAGAAATAGTTGTCATTCAAAAATGGTAGATTTCTTTTTATTTTTATCTTGGCAATTATGGGAGGTAATTTTAAGATCTCTTCAGCCAGACTTGTCTAGGGCGTCTGGCTAGCGTGTCTGTTTGCCACTAGGTGGCAGGGTTTACTACTGCTTTCCCAAAGTCAGAGGGGACTGTGTATCTGAGCAAGGGACAGTGGCTGAATCCTCAAACAGCAGTGGTGGCAGTGGCAGAAACCAGGTTGGGGACCTCCTCCCGGGAACTCCACGACTTCACCAACCATTGTTCACTCTGACCGATGCAAAATTCAGACTATGCAAATTACATCCTAGCTCTGCTCCCAGACCCCTTCAGTCTGTTTTTGCAGCCTGTTCTCGGTGCCTGCCAGCCTGCCAGTCAGAGTCCCCACAGGGTGGTGCCCCAAAGCCCTCAGCTTCATCCTTTAGCCTGTGCCCTCTGCTTCTGCATTGTCTGCCATACCCCCAAGCCCTCACTGCTGGCCATTTGCAGACAACCCCCAAAATCCCAGTGCAATGGTGAGCTCCAGAGGCCAAACCAAGAAAACTAACCAATGATAGAGTGAGGGACACAGGAAGGTTTGCAAGAAGAGGTAAAGAGCCCCCCAAAATAGGCAGGAAGTACTCAGAGCAGCTCTGTCCCTGAGAGCAGATCCATGTGCTGGCCACCAAATCCATTCTTACCCAAAAAGAAAGCTCCAGGTCCCCTGCCCTCATACCCTGCTCTGTTCCAAGGGGCCTCCCTGTTCCAAAAGGTACCAAAGAGGATATTCTCATACAGCCACTACAAACTGGTCATATCAAAATGTAAAATCAATTTCTATAACCAGTTACGTATGCAGCAGATAGTCCTCACCCTACGGTCCACATTTAATTGTGCAGGACTTTCACTTTCTATACTGTTCCTCACTGTAACAGCTGAGTCCCTGATTCCATCCCTACCCCTGCCTTTTTATTACAGGTATGTAAATTACTTGAAATACCAGAGGGAAAAAATGGAAGGCTAGAATTTCAAAACAATCTCTTAGAATGTAGAATTCTAAAGCAAAACAATCTCTTAGAATGTAGAATTCTAAGGGTATGTCAGTCTGTCCTCGCAAAACATCATTCTACAGGAGTTTAATGATGGAAAACACAACATGTATCTCCAAGAACTAAAAAAACAGAAATACTTTCTTGCGTGGTCTAGACCCACAAATATAAGATCATATTACAGTACAAATAACCCTCCTTCCTGTGTCTAATGTGCCCCATCGAACAAGACTGGCACAGTCTTAATCATACAAAGCACAGCCATCCCTCTTCTGTATTTTCAAATGTTGGAGGCTCCTTCATTAAGCAGCCAGATCTACTTACTACTTGACTGTAAGAAAATACAAATGTACTATTAAGATAAACAGCAATTCTGAGAATGCAAGATGCAGTCCTTTCCAGATATAAGTGAATGATCAGAGACCATGTACTTCACTTACTCACAGACAGCTTTCTTCTCAAAAGAGTGTCTTCAAGTCCTCACTTTTTTCTTTCAGCCCATTGAGATCTGCTTCTATCACTAGACTGAAGTTCCTCTCGCTGTGCACTCAGTGACTTCCAAGACCAATGAACTGTTTTCATCTACAGACCTCATATCACCTTGCCCCTTAGACAAGAAAGGCTCAAACTTCCAGCTCAGATGCAAGGAAAGTCCAACGCTTTTCCCAGCCCTGTCATCTACTTTGCAACTGACTCATCATGCTTTAGCTCCCCTGGGTGCCCCGGAGCCCCAGGCACATGCCCTTGTGTGTAGTAGAGTAACACAGGCTTGTGGGCTGCCAGAAGCAGTTAGGTAGAGACATTTCAACCAACAGCTTATAACTGCATGATCTGTCACACAGCTTTTGAGTTCTTCCTGTGCCCCTGCCACAAAGGGTTTCTCACTGGCCATGTGACCTTTTCTGATTTCTTCCTGTCCTCCTCTCCCCATATTGTACCTCCTACCCTAACTTGAAAATCCTAGCTCCACTGAGAAGAATGGGTCATGTCTGCCCATGTAAGCCCATTAAGGCGTTCAGTGGAACCCAAATCCCCAGTGACTGAGCAAAAGACAGCAGAGACCTTAAGGTTCCAGACATTCTTTCAGTGGCTCCCAGCCTCCTTAGAAGGCACCAACCCAAGGAGAAGTCCTCATTCCCAGCACAAACCAGACTCCTTCTAAACAAAACTCCCTCCCTCACACTCCAGTTCCCTGCTCCCCGACCCCCGCCCCTGCACCCATCTCCTGCTCACTGCCTTCACAGACACTACTTTTGTCCACCCCTTGGGCTGGAGGCCTCAGCGTTCCACCTTTGGCCCTCTGCTATGGCACTCTGAGCTACGGATTCTCCAGCCTGGCTGCACATCAGAATCCTAGGGCGGGCAGGGAGGGGTGTGTTGTTAAAACTCCTGACCTCCAGGCTGTACCACATCTACCTACTAACCAAGCCCAAGTCAAACTGTTCAATGTCAGCTCCACCTGTGGCCCTCCTCACCTTCCCGGCCCGATGAAGCAATTTACCAAGTTTCATACCTACCCAGCCTCAACATCTGTGTATCCTACCCATCCTCCTCAAAAGTCTCATCATCTTCACTGCTTCGGTTTGTCTTCCCCACCTCCTACCCAAGCTAGGACTACCTTATTATACTCGATCATTGCCTCTTTCCAGACCCTTCTCCATCTTGACCACCTTCCGTGTGGTCACTGGAGCAAGGAGTTAACCTGAAACAGTAGTTCTCAGTGCTGGACTCAGCGCTAGTTCTCAGGTGGACAAACTAGGACACTTTGGAGGACAATTTTGTAATAACTCTCATAATTAAAATGGCATATATCCTCTGACCCGGTCACTCCACTTCAAGAATCTGTTCTCTAAGTACGCGCGTACTCATACTCAGAGACAACAAGGTTGGGATAGTCACTGTAGCATGGTTTGTAATAGCAAATGTTTGTAACCAACTTCACTGTCCATCAATAGTGAATGGTATAAATACCACTACAGATGCATACAATGGACTGCTCTGCTTATTTCAAATTAATGATGTATGTCTGTATGTGCTGATATGGAAAGACAGCCAGAGTACATTCAGATATTTACATACAGACTTCCATATATACTGATACATCAAGTGAAAAAAGCAAGCTGAAGGACAGGGTTAATTTTTCTTTAACAAGGTGGTTGGTCTTTAGGGAGTGAAAGTAGATTTCCAAAATAAAGTAGAAGGACCCTTGTTTTTCAGTATTTATCTTTGATATTTGGATTTATTTATTTATTTACTTTGTGAGTGGATTACTGATTATTTGGGGATACTGAGAAAAGGGAGATTTAGACATGTAGCTTTGAATCTGGTGATGAAACTGTAATCTGTACAAATAAAACTAAGTAAACCACAAGCACGAAAATTATCAACATCAGAAAACAAAAAAGTTGTTCAACAAAGTAAATTTAATTACAGTATATTATGGCCCAGCTGTGAATATTTATATTATCATAATAATATACAAACTGACTAGTGATCTGTACAAAAATTATGCTATATTGTGAAGCCAGGATAAGGGTAAGTGTATGTCTATTGGAAAGGTACAGCAGGGAACAAGAGACTTCAATCTTTATCTTCTAGAGTAAAATGTCTATTGATAACTAAAATTGAAAAATCAAGAAGGAGCAGTGTAAGTATCTTATTTGAAAATACAGAAATTAATTGGTAAAACTGCTGAAAGAATTGAAGGTGGCTGCCTCAAAGGGACAGAAATCAGGAGTAGGGACAGATGGGGGCCATACTACTTAAATCCTTAAATTATGTGCATAGATTAATTTAAAAAAAAAACTTTTAAGAGTAAAAGGAAGGAATCACTAGAAACTACCATTCACATTATGGGCAGGGCACATCAGAATCACCTGGCAGATTTCTTCACGGTATACATGGACCTGCTGTTTTGGAGCTGGCATGTAGTTAAGACTGTCCAGGCCGCAAAATCTCCCCAGGTGTCCCGATGCCTCTTTCCTGCCAATACCCTTCAGACCATCGATGGCTTTCACAGGCCTCCAAGACTAAATCCAAACTCTTTAGAAAGAAACACAGGCTTCATCTGAGCTAAACCCTTAGCTTTCCTATCTTCCCCTGGTTCTGATTTCTCCTGCTTTTACCTCCCCTTGCCTGCCCATATTGACTACAGTTCCTAAGATGTGTGACCTGTAAGAGAAAATAGCCAACTTATCATGAGTAACTTCTCTCTGACCAAACTGTCTCCTCTGCCAGATCCCCTTCTGCTGCTAACTCCCAGGTGCTGAGGTGCCATTAATGTGGTGACTGCTCCCAACCAGAACTCAAACCCCAACACCATAATCCATACCCAACTGTCTACCTGACATCTCCCCCTGGATAGCTAATAGGCTTCTCAAACTTACTGTCCATGGCGCCTGGGTGGCTCAGCTGGTTAAGCAACTGCCTCCGGCTCAGGTCATGATCCCAGAGGCCCATGATCAAGTCCCACATCAGGCTCCACTCCTAGCTCTGCAGGGAGCCTTCTCCCCTGGAATGCTCTCTCTCACTCTCTCTCTCAAATAAATAAATAAAAATCTTAAAAAAAAAAAAAAAAAAAGCAAACAAACAAACAAACAAACACCTTACTGTCCATAAAGGGAACACTGACTTCCCCTGGTCTTCCTCCTAAGGCTTCTCTGTCTCAGCAACCACCTGGTTGTTCAAGTCAAAACTCTATGTTCCTCCCTTTCTCTCATCTTGAGCATCCAACTCATTAACAAACTTTGCTGTTTCAACCTCCAAAATGTATCTCAAATCTTTCTCCTTCCACTGTTACCATCCTGGACTACTACAATAGCATCATCCCTGGGCTCTTCTTCCTGAATTATTAATCAGATTACATCACTTACCTGCTTAAAACTTTCCAGTGGCTTCTCCTATTGCTTTTTCAAATAAAATCCAAATTGTTTTACCTTGGAGTAGGAGACCTACATGATATAATGCCTGCTAGCTTTCCAACCTCATTCAGCGGTGAGGGCACTTAGAATCACCTTCCAGGGGTGGGTCTATCTAGCCCAGCACCAAGAATAGAAGGTTCTTTCCCCTGTGCCTCTGGGAGGTAGCTTTCTGTTTTTAAGAAGACACGAAATTTGAACTGGAATTGACACCCGGTCAGTCCTAGGGTGGGAATGGGAAGGTATCTTAGCTACGCCACCAAAAGCCTTCCTTTTCCTAGTCTGTCCCACAACAATGTCTACCAATTCACTGGGGCATTTCCACGGTAATTTCTATACTAACCATCTAAACTCTCAACTGCCCACCTAGACCAGATTCAAGAGGTTACACAACCTGCATACACACAGCACACCCACACAACTGGAAAGAGGCCAAGGCTATTCCCTTAGGAGCACTTGTGCCTCCATAGCCCACAGGGGGAGAGTCTGGGCTCCACCAACAGGGACAATGTAGTAGGGGTTTTAGAACACGTTTATCAGGCGGGTAAGTCTGTGGCAGACTTGGTCTGAGCTCTGGCACATCCACCATAGCCCCCCTAGTCCCCGGGGAGCTTTCTGAAAGCACCAGGGCTTCGTTATCTCTTCTCCAGTCAGTGGCGGGTTTTAGAAGCCTGGGGATGATGAAACAATTTACTGTCTTCATAAGGAGGACAAAACACAGCAGCTTCTGGAGAAAATGGGGAAGTTAGTGACCCTGAATTCTTCACGTTCAGAAAAGTTCCCTTTTTAATCTAAAACTGTAATAAAATACAAACAGTGCTTTGCAAATAGCAAAAACTGCATGCCCCTACATAATTAAAAAACGACGTCTTGAAGAAAGAGGTATGATAAAGCCTACTGTCAACAGTGCCTAAGCACTTCTCTGTGTGCCTGGAATTGAAAATGGATCCATATTTACTCTATTCTCTGCAAATATTTCCCGGATGCAGAGAAGGAGTGGAGTAAGAGGAGATCAGCTACTATGGACATACTATCTCAAGGCACACTCGCTGGGGAACCAAGAAGCCACCTGATGTAATCTCAGACAGGCTTGGGAGGTTCACAGACCCAGGTTTGCACTCTGGCTTTGCCTCTTACTGCGTGGCCTGGGCAGGTTCCTTCATTTCTCCAAGCACCTGTTTCTTTGTCTATAACTTGGGGCTATCACCCTCTCCTTGCAGGGTTATTACAGGAATTTACGGAGCTAGCGGAGGTAGAGAGTTTAAGGCCAGCATTTCTGCAGCACGTGCTGGGAAATAATAGCTCCTATTGTTATGTTATTATGCTCACAAGTAGCAGCCATCCTGAGTCCATTACTGACCTCCTGCCGTCCCCCTTCTGGGCTTTTGCCCAGTGCTCCACCTGGGCCAGGCTGCTCTTCCTCTGGCTGTGCTTTTCAGTGTTGTTCCTGGGAGGAAAGGCCCGTTGATACCCGCCGGTCCCATTCTGCTCTCCTGGGCCATACATGCCGGGCAGCACCCCATTCTTCTCTGCCCGCTGGGGCTGTGCTTGTTGGCCTCTCAGACCACCAGGTAAGTCCACGAACAAGGCATCCTCCTCAGCCGGTGAGTACGGGGACCTGGCCTTGCTCCTGTCCCGCTTGCCCTCCAGTGGGTCCCTCTGGGAACGGTACCGTTCTTCCTCTTGCTCCCGCCTCTCAAAGCCAAAGGAATCCTCATGACTTCGATGAGGACAATCCCTCGCATGTCCAGGTCCCATGCGGCCACACTCTCGACAGGACTCTGTGTGGTTGGCTTGGGGGACCGCCTGCCGCTCTACCTTCTCCATGTCCCTGCAATGACAAAGGCACATTTAGCCGATTCCAGACAGCTCCACAGGCAGCCAAGACTCCCCGAAGAACACACTCTATATGCGAATTTCCTCCAGGCCTTTGCATGGGCTGTTCCATCCGCCTGGAATGCCTTTCACACCTGGTCCCTCATTCTTTCTGCCTAACTTCTACTCCTTCTTGCCTAACTGCTATTCCTTCTATTCTACCTGGCCTACGTGTTAGTTACCTCCCCCAGGAAGCCATTCCAGTCACAGACTCCCAGTCTAGATTGGGACCTTAGCTGACTCCACTATCACATTACTCACACTGGACCATAATTGAGTTTATTCATCTAAAGCCCAAGTAGACCATGAGTTCCCTGAGGCCAGAGCCCCAGCTGGCCAATTATGATACGCCCAGAACTTCTGTGCAATGACTGGTAAAGCATAAGTACTTTACAAATACTCTTTAACAAGTAAATGATATATGTGACAATCTCATGCTTTCCTTTTTCTCCTTGTTCAGCTGTCTGTTTGAGGCAGTCCAGCTTGGATAAAAGGCTCCTGAGCCCAGGGTCTCTCCCACTGGCATCTAGCATAGCCCAGAGAACAATTAGAGCACAATTAACACTCTCCTGAGCAGAGAACAGGCTCAGCAACCTCTTTATATGACTTCTTACCTAGAGCTCAAACAAGAACCCATGAGAACACAACAATCTTCTGAAGTATCACTAGTCGGATTTTAGAAATAAGGAAACTGAGGCACAGAGAAGATAAATGATTTTCCCAAAAGTATAGTGTTGTAGAGCCCATGTAGTTCCCACTGCCTCTCCATGTATGCCCATGGCCTAAGTACACACAGACCTAGAAACTGCAAAGGAGAATGGGGTGGGGGTCTTCAGTCAGGATGTGAACGGAGGATGGAGGAAGAACTTCTGAGGGCATCAAGTAGGGCTCCTTTTTCATGGCCTGTCTCCTACTGTAAAACCTTTCTACCCTACCCACCTTCCTTGGGGCAGGATCCTTGTTATGTCTACATCCCCATTACTTGATAACAGGGACAGAGCAGCAGCTCCATAGGCTTGGCAGAATTTAGACTGGGGAAGAAGGAGAATGCACTCCAGCCTAGCCCAGAAAATTACCAAGGATCCTTGGCTGGGGCAGCCAGTTTATTTGATAAAAAGGTCCTGGCCTTGATCTCCATCACTCCTCAGATGGCCGAGCTCTCCATTTCAACATGAAAGCATACAGTGGAAATGCTGCTGCATTGACATCTTTGTGGCCACACACCAGGCATTGTTACAACAACCTAGGAAACTCAGCTACCAGTAATCAGCACAGACTCAGGGCTGAATCAATCTAGTCTGGGAGACAGTTAAAATATCAATGTAAAGTAACAATATAACACCTAAGGAAAGCGATCATACATCTCACTGTCCACATACTCTCCTGACCATCCATGAAAATACAAAGCTCTGTTTAAAAAAAAAAAAAAAAATCGATTTCAACATTTCAATTTTCATTTGGGGATCACCTCCCCCACTTCCCCAGTCCATATGGTTTGGGTGCTGCTGACTCTACTAGTCCCTGTCCAGCTGAGGCTCCCAGTCCCAGTGACTAGTTCAGGGGTTAACACATCACCTATTCCAAGCCAGGCAGAATTAGTTCTGGGGCTTTGGTTGGAGCGGGTCTCGAGCTGCTATAACTATATGGGAATCAGCTATTTGAGAACGAAACCAACAGCAAGGAAAGCAGATGGAAAGAAACAGAATCCTAAAAACTTGGCCTGAGCTCTGAGATTTAGCCATACTTAAACCAGATATATCCTTGGACTTTTTGGTTGTGAACCAATAAATTTTCTTTCTCACTTAAGTAGTCTGAGTTTGGTCTCGGTTACTCTTAGCGGATGGAGTCTTGTTACATCATTTTATAACGACATATTCAGATTGTGATCTCTGAGGGCCCTTCCATTCTATAAGCTCCAGCAGTGGGAATATCTGGGAAATATTCAGGGGCTATACTTTAAGAAAAAGCAATTCTTACTGTATGTTCATTAAGGGACAACTCTTTTCCAGTGTACATTATAGGTTTTAACTTTGTTGTCCTTTCTTCCTTTAATCCTCCATAACTGCATCAGTGTAACCCCAACCAGTAGCCTTCAGGTTGCCTAAGTTGGCCTTTATCTTCTTTACTGTTTCTCACACTCGGTGATCTGTGCTAACACTGTTGCCTCAAGGACTAGAGCTCTGGCTGCCCTCAGGGTCACACACCAGCCAAGTCACTGAAGCTTGATAACCTGGTTACTCCAATTGCAAGACCTAAGTAACTATCCCTCCTTGTTATTTCCACACCAACGATAAACAGCACTTGGTCACAAAAACCAGGCTGTGAAACAACCATGCCACCTGCATAAATGACATTAGAACTTAAAGGAAAAAGGGGTTTCCTCAACTCCAGAAATCAAGGAGTGTGGGTATGATGCCTCAGCCCAACCAACCGTAATGGGGATTTTCCTTTCTTTACCAATCAACCTCCATGGATTTACTGAGCAACTATCTATCCCCACTGGGACAGGTACTTGGAGGTATAAGAAAGTAGCAGAGAAAACAGTCCCTGCCATCAAAGCCAGATAACCCTAGAGCCTGATTTAATCATGGTAGCCACATTTACTACTGTTCTCATTAAGTGATCCCAAATTGGGGAGTTTTCCAGTCTTTTCTCACCGTGGAGCTAATTTATAATTATAAATCTTAGTCTTTACTCTTTGTGGACATACGACGTATACATGCTCACATGTGCTAGTACAACCTGGTGATAAAGTTGATAGAGAATGACCAATCCTTTTGTCAGATTAATACCACCATTTACTGCAAAATAAGCCTTAAAGCATGGTAGTCTGCTTGCCACCTGGCAGCCTTCTAGGCCCTCAAACCTGGGATTATGAACAGCTCTTGGTCTCTTGACTGCTGGGACTTACATAAGATGCCTTTGTGCTCACAATAACCCAGGCTATGGCTGTAGGTAAGAAAGATGAAGGCAATGACCTCTACTCCCCCATCTTAACTGACTTAAACAGTTAACTTACTAAGATATATGATTTAAGGAAAAATGTTTTCTGGTTTTCCCCCCATCTCCCTGCATTCCCTATAATTTTAACAGCCAACTTCTCAAATCAGGAGATCTGTCACAAAATAGATTTGCAATGATCCATTTAGCACAATGGTGGGAAAGAATGAAGCACCCCTCAGCTCTCAATGACTATCATTCAGAGAAGTCAGCTATGCAGGGCACACATGTTTAGCTAAGGTGACACAAGCCTTTCCAATGCAGGTCACTACTATTATTGTGAGCACTGGACTCAGTGACTCTTCAAAGTCACAGGAATTCTTGGCATTCGGTGACCACTATTGACCAAATGTGTCAAACCCAGTTTAGAGTCGGTGAAACACGGTTTCAAGGGTTGGTTCCACCCAATACAAGCTGGGTGACTTTGAGTAAGTCTCTGACTTCTCTGGTTTCATGTTTCTTATCTGCAAAATGGGGATAACAACCCCTGTTTCATTGGACTGTAGTGAGAACTAAAAGAGACAGTGACAGAAAGAGCACAGCACAGTGCCTGACACACAGCCCGCCCTCAAACACACATGCGCTGACTACCCAATACCTATTCTCTTCCTCTTCCTTGACCCCATACTTTCTTCCTTGACCCCATACTTTCTAAGTGGCAATGTGTCCAGCAAAAAGTCACATTTCCCAACCTCCTCTGGAGCTGAGGGTGACCACGTGACTTAGATCTGGCCAAGAAGATGTTAAGATGTACACAGAAATTGCTGGGTGGGTCTTCCAGGAAAGTCTAAAAGAAGTCATGCTTAGCTGGCTTAGCTAACCCTCCCCTTCTTCTGCCTGGAATTTAGACTACGTTGGATTCCAAGGTAACAAAAGTAAGGATAAGAGCCACCTACTAAAACCTGGGTAGAAAATGAGAAAGAGCCTGGATCCCTGCTGGCATCACATAGATACTATACCAACCTGGATTCGTGTTATGTGAGGAAAGGGAAACCCAGTTTGATGATGCTGTCCTAAGTTGGGTTGTTCTATTACGAGCAATCAAACACAATCCCTAACCTGTTACAAGGGGCTAAACATTATTAGCAGAGATTGGGTCCCTCCATTTTTAGCACATTACCGCAATCTCTGTGTCTGCTTAGAAGATATCTTTTTTTTTTTAAAGATTTTATTTATTTATTTGATAGGCAAAGATCACAAGTAGCCAGAGAGGCAGGCAGAGAGAGAGCTGGAAGCAGACTCCCCGCTGATCAGAGAGCTCAATGCGGGGCTTGATCCCAGGACCCTGAGATCATGACCTGAGCCAAAGGCAGAGGCTTTAACCCATTGAGCCACCCAGGCGCCCTGAACATATTCTTTAAAAAAAAAAAAAAAAAAGATTTTATTTATTTATTTGACAGAGAGAGACACAATGAGAGAGGGAACACAAGCAGGGGGAGTGGGAGAGGGAGAAGCAGGCTTCCCGCTGAGCAGGGAACCCGATGCGGGGCTCCATCCCAGGACCTTGGGATCATGACCTGAGCCTAAGGCAGGCGCTTAACCGACTGAGCCACCCAGTGCCCCTGCTTAGAACATATTCTTGTCTCCTACTGCAAGTGAGAAAGCACTCACCTCAGACTGGGGATACTTCTCTCTTCTTCATTTTCTTCACAATAACTTATAAGTTAACAGATCATACCAAGCACTGATTATTATTTTATTCTGCATCTAAACCCTTTATCTCACCAGGAAATAAGCACTACTATTTCCTTCTATCTTAATGCTAAACACATGCACACACCGTACACATTAACTCTTATTCAAAGACTTGGGTGGGAAGATGAATGACAGCTTGTAGGGCCTTGGTTGGACTTTGGTCCAGTGGCAGATACAACCCTATCATCAAAATCCCACTAGAGGATTCCTTCCTACTCTCCACACCTAAATGACCAGACTAGGAATTCAAGAACAAGGGCC